CCGGAAAGCCAAAGTGATAGAAAAGGGAAAATAGTCACATGAAAAATCATGGTGAGACTGAAGCATATATGTTTTCTCCTGTGAAAAAAAAAAAAAAAAAAAAAAAAAAAAAAAAAAAAAAAGGAAAAGGAAAATATTGTACAATCAAGAAAAGGCCTGTAGAGCATTGTATAGCACATGAGGAATAGACAAGAAAAGGTCGACGGATGATTAAAGGAGGACAGATGGCAACAAAATGGTATATCCAGAGGGAGTAATCCCCTCAGCTTCCCCTTTTCCCCCCAAAAAATGAAAACGTGACATCAATATCGCAAGACATAAAATCAAAATATATGGTATGCCGTGCGTGGAGTGTTGGGTAACTTTGGGATTTTCTAAAAGAAAAAAAAAGAAAAACAAAGAGAAAAAGAATGAATGAAAAACAACAAAAATGTGTCCCATGTCAGAAAGAAATTCAACAAGTAAACGACAATATTATCAAAACATGCCACCTTCCATGGGGACCTTCTTCGGGACTTGCGGTAAAGCCGGTGAGCTATTATTCAAAAGTTGCTGCCGGGCCTTGGCATTTAAGTTTCCACCTTCGCTTGATATTTTCCGTAATTTTTGCCGCGGCCGTGGCCTTTTCTCCTCATCAGAAAATACGCTTTGATGATTGTGATGATGAAAATTATGATGCTTTTGTTCATCCATTGGGCTTGTGGGATTTGAAGGGGGTATGGCTGGTTGGTCGTGTCTGTCGGAGCCCTTAAACGCATTTATGAACGTTTGCGTTGTTGTTTGCCGTCTACGTCGTGGGTTCATGGGTGGTATTGGCGGGGTTGATCCGTTGGAGAGACTGGCTCCTGGCGGGAGACCAACTGTGGGCACGTTGGATGTTGAGGAGACAAATGTTGGTTCGGATATCTTAGATTTGTCTATCACTCGTTTATGTGAGCTGCCAATGCCTTGATTCCGTTGGCTACTGATGTTCATGGGGGGCAGGAGAATGGGAGTCTGGTTGGAAGGGTGTACAGGGGAAGTTTCGTAAAGAGGTGGTGTTGCATTGGCGGAATATGGAGTCATCGGAGAGGGACGTGGGGCATTCCCAGTGAAATCGGGTTGATGGGTTTGAGTAGGGAGAGGAGGGTTAGGCTCGTAGTAGCCCTGTGCAGCTGAGCGACTATTACTCCGGAACCTACCAGAGGCCACAGATGCAGATCGCTCAGAAGACCTAGGGTCGCTGACCTCCTCTGATGGCCGGGAGGGAAAGGAAACAGGTACTGAAGCCTTGGAGGGCTTAGATTCCTCACCTTGAACTTCGGAGTGTCCGATAGTATGTTCCCCTACAGGTCCAAGATCATCATGATAGCGAGGTTGGCTTTTTGACCGGCCCGACACATCCGAACCAGATCGAGCTCTACCAGAACTCCGATGGGACGATGGAGATGGTTCACCAGTAAACGACTCTCTGGATCCATCGTTGCTTACCCTTCCCATCGTGCTTGCTTGGGGCTGCCAAGGCCGATTGTGATTCCGAGGTCCAAAATGGGGTGATCCTGAACGAGATTCTCTCCCACGGTTACGGAAGGTCCTCTCCTCATCCTCAAGCCACGGGTCGTTCGTGGCAAGCATTGGTGACGATGAGTTGAGAGAATTGTCCATGCCAAGCATTTTCATCGCTTTTGACTGGGGTGCATCAGTACGACCGGGCATGGGGTTTCTGCCAGCTTTGTTCTTCAGCATCGCGAAGGCGTTACCGTGTTTTGATGCGTAATCTGGGAAACGATAGCCAGAAGATGGACTGCTCGATCGGCTTTCGCTCTCTGCGACGCTTCGTAGTTTCTCTCGCACCTTTCTTCGTCGTTCAGCTAACTCATTCGCAAGCTCTTCACGCTCATTCTGCGTTTCTGAGCTCCCGCACCTTTGATGGCCTGGCTTGCGTTCCTCTTGCCACGGCGCAGTTCGAGTTATCGGGTCCCTAGGTGACTGATCGCGCATTTCGTTGTAGGGTGGGATACCTGATATATCCTGGGGGTTGGCCGGCGACGGTGCTTGTGCCTGCGACTGCGTACGTAAAGCTGTCGCCTGCCCTAGGATTTGCTTCGCTCTCATTGACATAGAGGAGAAGTCAGCTTGCCCTGCCTGCACCGTGGGTTCCTTGTCTGATGCCGGACTGATAGGCTTATATAGGTCATCGTACTCCCAGGGATTACTGTGAACGCTGGTAGCGTGGTCGGAGTCTCTAGCAGCTTTAACAGCAGGACTGAGCTCTCGTGCAATATCTTTGATTTTGGAGACCTCCAGCGAAGGCGGCTGGTAGATCGAATTGTCGCTGTCTTGTCGGAGATGTGTACGAACTAGACCACTTAAACCTAACCCAGAGGGCCCAAGTGTTGGTGAATCGGGGGCCTCACCAACAATCTCCTCAGAACCTTCATTCTCCTCTATAGTATTGAGATCATGGGTTTCTGAATATCGTAATTCGGGAGTGCCAGTGTGAGAGCCTTTGTTGAGAGAGCTCCGCGAGGAGTCTCCAGAGTTGCTCCTAGATCTGAAGGCGGGATGGATATTTTCGAGTGACTGAACCGCTGAAAGCATGGTATTCAACGCCGGTTCTCGTTCATCTTCGCTTCCGTTATCTCCGCTATCTCCGCTCAAAAAGCTTCGGTTATTTAGTTTAGAAGGCGATGGCGATGGTCTACGACTGCTGTTTGCAGTAGACCTTTCTCGGCTGTGCCGAGGCTCGTCTGGGGGATTATTGTACTGTGATACTAAAGTATCTACCTTCGGTCGATGTGTTGAATTGGAAACTTCGCGCGAACGTGCAGGGTATTCCATATCAGGGGCAGCGGGTGATGGAGTACGGCGTCGCAAAGGAGTATCTCTACCCTCGTACATCTGAAGCTGCCGTTGCGTAAATTTGTTGTCGTCATATTGTGTGGCTGGTTTATTGAAAAGGCCCATAGCCGTAGCTTTCCCACGATCCTCTGGTTGGAGTGCGGCCTCCAATGATCTTTGTTCCTCAGATTCACTCACGGGAGGGCTCAGTGGTGGCGAGGCGCCAAAACCCAGGTTTCCAGTAGGTTTCTCCGGTTCGCCCTTATTTGAGCTATCAACTGCTTCCCCAATCACGGTTGAAGCAGATGGAGGGGGGCTTGTAGGGCGGAAACCTGCAGAAGCATATACTGGAGAGCGATGTTGGAATTTGTCATTTAAACTAGCTGAGCTCCTTGACACAGATCGATTTATTGGCGAAATGTCATTAGCACCAGCTCGCTGGCGGCTAAGGTTTTCGAGTCTCGAAATGGCGGAGGATTGTTGGGTGTTGATTTCAATACCTTGGCCGTACCGTCGAGTCTTCGTAGGATTGCGCTCCATTCCAGTTGACGTGGGACTGGGTTTTGTGGGAGAAAATACTGACACTGACTTAGAAATGACTGGAGAATTTGTCCCCTGTCCCGAGTTGCGCTGACCAGAATCAACTGAAGTATTCGAGGTTGAAGTACGATTGACAGATGGCCGAGAAGCCAGGGAACCCTCATCTTCCGTATCATGTCTAATCTGCTGGATATCCAACTCAAGTTCCAACTGTTGTTCTTTCTCTTTGGCCCTCAGCTTTTGGAAGGCAGATAACGTAACATCATTCTCATACACCGCTTTACCCCCCATCCCACCGCCGGCCCCTGAAGCTTCTGAAGCCGACCCACTTCTTGGCGTCGTCGACGCAACCGGTATTTTATAAACTTTTTGTCGCCCACCAAACAAATTGTTCCCTTCACCGGGCCGGGATCTGCTCATAATGCTACCGCCAGGAGAAAAGTCGCCATCATCAGTAGCGTAGCCCTCCCCAGAGGCGTATGAACCACGGCCAATCGCAAAAGATGGCCTAGCTGAACTTCCATGAAGCGAGGATACTTCTGCGATGTCGCCGAGCGGGTTATTAAGTTGGCCAAAGACATTCAGTCTCGACGCTCTCTTTGGAAAGAGTACGCTGTCATCATTGGCCTTCCCAATTTTAGAATTCGGATCGTCCTGCTCTCGTAACATGCTAAATCGCGCAGAGAGATTTGGCATAAGTAAACTTGTTCTGAAATCGTCCGACGATGGGAGGACTGAAGAAAGGTCTAGCTCTGTTGTCGTCTCTGCTTGCGGTTTCTTCGCCCGTTTGAACGTTTTGGATGTAAATAGCGGCAGCGGTTGGCCCTCTTTTTCGTCCTGCCCATTTTGAGCTTCCTTGGCCTTCTTGCGGGTTCTGAATCGATTCATGTTCAAGGATCTAGCCTTTGTTCGTAGGAGGTAAATAGAGGCCTGTCGAAGGCAAAATTGATGATAGTATGGTCGAGATCGGTCAACAAAATAAGGAGTAGTAGGGTAGAGTTGAAAAAAAGGAATGTACTGTATGTGTTCCCCTGATGTGTTGTAACCCGGCTGTGACAGGTGGAGGGGATGCGGAAAAGGAGGGCGATCAACAGAGTTCCTGACTCGAAAAGTTCAACACCTCAGTGAAGCCTACGTGAATGTGAATGCTGAAGTGTTAGTTTCCAAGAGCCACCTAGAACGGTATTTTTGGATGCAAGTCATCCGGTCATGTAGAATGCATACATATGTGTATGCAGAATTGCAGGGCAGTCGAACATGGGCAAAAATGAATCGTAAGAGTATGTACTCAACGTACGTGTTACAAGGACCTGCCCTTTAATTCCCCGGCGAAAAGAATCAATTCAAATAAAATGCGACCAGTGCAAACTTCATCCCCTTGGTTGTCACGATCGGACGGACACGGCAAAATCAAGCGTCGAGGTGCGGCGGGAGGGAGTGATCGTGGTGTGGTTGCGGCGTCCCACCCTGCAGTCTGATTCTGCTCCGTGTCTGAAGAAGATACGACCAATCTGCTTTCTCAACTCTGTATTGGTCGGCAAATCTAAGACAGTTAAGGTCGCAACTTGAAAAGGGCTTGGATAAAACTGAAGAACTGAATGGCGGAAGGGAACAAATCAGAAACGAAAGGAATGTACGAGTCGAAAAGAAAAAAGGAAGCCAGCGAAAGGGTGAGGAGAGTGGTCGCTGCAGGAGGTCCCAAGTAGGACAGACGAGAAGAGAGGCTACAAAGTCTGTCGATATTTAAATTGCCAAAGTTGGAACAAATGAGGGGAATTGGCGACAGGAAGCACGAATGGCAGCTGGTAAATCGAATGTCAACGTCTGACTCGTTCGGCTGATGTTTGGTAGAGGGATGTTTTGAGAATAAAAGACAGCGGATGGAGGGATCAAAAGGGCGAGCAGGACGAGCAGGATGAACAGGATGAACAGGATGAACAGGATGACATACAAACACGTCTCCGTCGTCCCATTCAGGAATTCCAGAATTGATTACGGGGGTTTCGCAGCCGGCGACTTTGGATCGTGCTCACAGATTCGATCGGTTGCTAGCCGTGAAGTTTTCCAACGATTTAGGATGAAAATAGGTGCCCTCGATCAACCTAGTGACGCCTCGTTCTCAATGTTTCTTGTCCCTCGTCTTTGGACGAGTCCTCTGGCATCGGCGTGGGGAAGAAATTTCCACGAGTACTCTGGCTCCACATAGGCTGTGAATTATTTACCGCCGTTTGTTTAGTCGTGGGTTAGCGGCCGCGCGAGGAGTCCCCGAATACACTGTTGGCACAAACGATAGCTAAGATGATAAAATTGATACTTAATCGCTATCGTTTCTCCCACAAAACACAGGGCGATCACCGTCGAACGCGCTCTTATTATTATTATTATTATAAGGATGGGTTGCGGGGAGGCACTGCAGTACACTCGTGGAGCTCCAAAAACAAAGCCAATATCAGGCAGACCTTCAGAGAAATGCCAGAAAGGGAACAGTATGTGACTGCTGGAGTGTCAGGGGTCAACTGCAAGCAGGACTGGGCGTACTGCGTCCATCGCCGTTCTCATTCTCGAGCCATCGATGCTCGCCAGGTGCGTGGCTGCAGCCCACCGCACACGCCAGCGCTGAAATATCGGACCAGAGAGAATATGATACGGCTATGCAGGCACGATTTCACCCTGCAAAATAGATACCGCTAACGCCAATGTTTCCACAGCTTCGAAACCGTTGTTGGTCAATCAACAACGACAAATCCGAGAAGGGCTGACGGGTTTGTTCTCCCGTTTCGAGGCTAACAGCGCCCAGGAATTCGCGCTGTTCTGATCTGGCGTCCCGCGGTTTTCCTGGTGCTGGGGCTGTTATTCTTATTATTAACTTAACTCCTGCTCGTATCTATCCAAACCCCATGGACACCGGGCAGGATTTCCATCACCTTTTTTGTTTTGTAAAAAAAAAAAAAAAATTGTACGCTGCGTACCTTCAGCATTTACCCGTAGAAGGAGACAATATATTTTATTCTTGCGGGCTGCCTGAAAGATGATCGAAGGTCGACTCATAAATATGACGGGTACCACATATGGTGGTGGGTCAGTCTGGGCCTGTGAGCGGAAACCGAGTTTCGAAACAACAGCGGGCAAGGGATGATTAAACAAAATATCCATGGATACGCAGTTCGATATTGTGGAACTCATTTTTAATTTTATGGTTGATCCGATGAGAAGATCCGCGATAAAAAAAAGGTCTTTTTGTTCGTCTCTAACGCGAAACGCAGCAAATACTGTCGCAGTGACTCTTTCCTGTCGTTCATCGATACTCCGTACACCCGAATGAATGAGCGAGGGAGACAAACAGCTGCAATGTAACCAATGATTTCGAACGGAGGTCATCAAAAATTGAAACATGCAAAAAATTATGCGAACGACGGATGCCCGACGAAGTTTCATCTCTCGTTAATCGTTAACAGCATACGGAGTATATATAGCCATAGAGATACTTATTAGCCGCCACATTTCATTATCAGGACTTCTGCAGCCCGCTTAGTTGCGAGTTCATCATTGTCAGTGAGACTCACGCAGGCAATGGCCACAGGATGGAACGAGGTCTCACAGCATGCTCCCTTTTCGCGGCTGTGAATGATATTGCCTTAAAGACGGATAACTATATAATACGAACGAGCGACATATCAAATAGACCCTGATCGATGTTAGCCATGAATGGATTTTCGCAGCCCCCCAATCCTTTGGTGAAAAAAATACAACAGAACTTTCGCCGAATGTTTTGGTCTTTCCAAGCTGCCTCGTCGCTTCAAAATGGCTTGCCTGCGCCCGGCCGAGCTAGCATGTATCGATCATACTAGCGCCAGAGGAACCAGAGAGACGGGCCGCTTAGTTCAGGTACAGAAAGTCAAAAATGTGCGTTCCTTTTGGGTATTTTACAAGAAACCCAGCAGGCAGGCATCAATGACTTATTTGGGACTCTGTTCTTGGCTGGATTTTTCGCAGCGCAGAGCAGACAAGCGTCGGTGAGGTGTGAGCTATTTTTTTTTTTTTTTTTTTCAATAACTACGCACGATCCCAAACGCAAAAACTCTAGGATAGGACACATGGGAGGCTGGTAACTTCCCAAGTTCTCCCCCTGACTCTTCGCCTCCTGATCATAATGACGAAACGCAAAAGAATGAACGCTGTCCGTATCACGATAAAGATCTTACCTACATACATGCACAGGCACCCTCCGACTGCATACATCCCCAGTCTGAAACTGGTGGCGGTCAGTTCCTCCAGAACATCACCAAAAAAGGGAAAAAGGAAAAAAAGGAAAATAAGAAAATAAGGCCTGCACGATGACAATCGGGTCAGCCAGCGGTGATAACAAGAAAAATAATAAAAAAAAGTTGGCCGTATTCCTTTCAATCCCATCTTCCGACCCACGCCGGATTTCACAAAAGGTTGGTAGAAGCAACAAAATCCACCTCCAAAAGGGTCGGGCATTGTTGCCATGGACAAGAAGACGTCCCATCTGCTAGGTCCCCCTCGCGAGGCACAGTTTCAGGTGAATTTGTTCCAGGCCCTTGGTGGTAATCGCTATTCCCCTACTATGTATGTACTCCCCCCTGCTCCCCTGGCCTGGCCCCATGCCGAAATCCCCTCACTCCATGGAGATGGCATAATTTTATTAATTTTCCGTTCCTGGATTTAACTATTCCACGATGTGTTTCTCTATGGGCGTTCATGATTAGCCTGTTCACTCTTTTGCATCAAATCAAGCTACACAGCATTTCATTTTCACTTTTATTCTCTATTTTATTTTATTTTTAATTCCTGACAGCTCTTGACACCTTTGGTCTACAATCTATATGAATTCCCCATATATAGGCTAGTAAACGGTAAGAAGATGGAATAGTGAAAAAAAAAATAAAAATAAAAATAATAATAATGAAGTGTCAAGAGAAGTATATAATGTTGACGAGTTAGAAGGAAGAGTACGGAGTAGCTAACTAACTTAATTACTTTAAAAGAAAGCAATCAGAGAAGAGAACGAAAGAGATTCAATCAGCAAATCGTTATATATTTAGTTTATACAGGTGTGGGAGAGGAGAGCACTCTTTGAGTCTGAGTATCAAGCTATATAATCTGATATGGTGATGATAGTCTCTCATTTTATTGGAAGCTGTTTCTAGCAATTCAATTGTGGCAACAAAATGACAGAATAAACATGCTTCATGTGGTGTATATGTGTGCATGTCTAACCCTCAATTACCCAAGGCAGTCCATAATACAACCAACATAACTATCCATCACAGCAATAAATACGGAAGTAAGTAAGAACGGTTTCGCCCCTGCAAGGTCAAGGCAAATAAAAAAAAAACGAATAAAAAAAAAAAAAAGAAAAAAGAAAAAAAATCCATCCAAGCTTCAAGAAAAGAAAAAAAACTTGCAGAGGACGCATGAACAGACATGGGTGATGGCAACCTGACAAGCTGACATTATCGATACATCCCTGGCATCCAGGGCAATAGTTCACAATGGTGTCGTGTCGAGTTCGTGTTATTCCTGGACCTTTTTTTTTTTCCCTTGTTTTTGCTCATCGCCCTCAAATAATAAAATAACGGAGTAATAATCGTAAATCCGTCGGGAAGCGCGTTCCCAGTACTGTACATCATGGAAAAAATAGGACATTTCCAACTAGTCAACAATAATAGATATATATTTGGAGAAACCCCGTTTCCCTTCCCCAGCTCTCAGCCACAGAATCTTCTTATCCGGATTGTGAGCGGGGCTCCCTGAGGTGGGGAGATGGAGCATGCGGATTTTCATGCATGTATTCCAGGAGCCAATTGTGCTCGATCAATGGACGAAAAGATTTGACAAGAAAGCAAACGAGGGGGATGCAAAAATTGAGTCCTGCAGTTCGAAACAAAATATGATGAATTTCGACCAGGAGATTGTTTTCTCAATATTGTACGGAGTATATCATTATTGAATTTGGTAGTTAACTCCCCGGAGATGTTCAGTGTCCTGCAAGATCAAATAATAATCCAATACGCCGTAATCCACCCAGATCAATCAGTAATATAGTTCGGACGGTGAGGTGAGTCTAGTCTTGGGAGGAAATCATGGAAAATATTGTCTAGAACAATAGCGGGCTGCTCTCGGGATTTTTCTGTCCAGACAGCTGTTGTCAGCAAAATGACTTGCATTCAAGTTCTCATTGCGACGTACAACCCGAGAATATTATTAGATATACGTTCAGGGAATCACCAGTAGATATCCAAAGACATATTCCCCATCTCTCATCGAATCTAGGTCTTTGCTCACCAAGAATCGGACCGGTTCCTAACAAGTACGACCAACACGCCGTCGATAACCGCAACTGTGGGCATTTGGATGCTGCTGTCCACTCTCTTCAAATAAACACCTTGCGGAGTACCCTTATAGTCAATTCAACAGCTTTTATAAGGCTTTACAGGAGACTAACAATCGCGGAACCGAAACGCAACTCCTTCCTTATCGATGTGGCCGAGCACTACACACCTCTCTCGCTTGTCTTTCAGGTGACAACATGCGTTGATGGTCGACTTGCGTGTATGTCCGATGGGTATCCGGGAAGCCATGAGGCCGGGCTTACTATAGTAACTAACTATTCCTTCATGCAAGCGGATGATTAAGTTTGGCGTGGGTATGATTAATTGATCCCGAATTGCTTGGACGCAGCCAATTCTCCACGACACAATCTCTTAGTACCCGGAAGCAATGTATCGTAAGAAATAGAATAATGCGGACTCATCATTGGTCATTCGCAGAGGAGGGATCTCTCTCTCTCTCTCTCTCTCTCTTTTTTGCGATTTATCACAATGATACAAGTATCTGATGTCCGCTCTATGACGCCATAGCCCGGCTCCCCGCTACCCCAGGGTTTGCTAAGATTCTTCCGAGATCTTTTCTATTTTTATATATTCAAGAAGAGAGAGATATATATATATACATATATAATCTTGTGACTCCTCTCGAACCAGGACAATTCTGCCGACCAACCTACTCAACCATAGTCATACCATATACTAGCTAGTTGGCTATTTCGATTAGCTTTTCTTGTCCCCCATTCACTAAACTACCAAAATACTCCCAAAATATGTCGAATCCCCGTGTCCTACTCCTCGGCGGACATGGCAAGATAGCCCGCCTCTTAACCCCTCTCCTCCTCAACCGCTCCTGGGACGTAACCAGCGTGATCCGCAACCCAGATCATACCAGCGACATCCTGAAATTGGGCCAGGGCAAGAAGGGCAAGGTCGAGGTGCTGGTCTCCAGCCTCGACGATGTGAAGAGCGTCGATGATGCGAAGGCCATCGTAGACCGCGCAAAGCCGGACTATGTCGTTTGGGCGGCTGGTATGTCTGTTTCTTTATTCTGTATACATATACATATACATACATACATACATACATACATATATATATATATATATATAGTGCCATATACAGCTAACACAACACAACACAACCTCTCCTTCCACCAGGCGCCGGCGGCAAAGGCGGACCCCTCCGCACCTACACCATAGACCGCGACACAGCCAAACACTTCATAACAGCAACCTTCACAAACCCCTCCATCACCAAAGTCCTCCTGATCTCCCACATCGGCAGCCGCCGCAAGCAGCCCCCCTGGCTCTCCGCAGACACCTGGGCCCGCTTCGAGCACATCAACCAAGACGTCCTGCCGGACTATTACCAGGCCAAACTGGCCGCGGACGAGTACTTCACCGTCATGGCGCGCAGGCGCGCAGCCATGGATGACGAAGCGGAGGCGCGGGGCGGGGCCGCGGGGGAGGGTGAGGGCGAGGGGCCCAGGAAGCGGTTCCAGGCGATATTGCTACGGCCGGGCCCGTTGATGGATGCGCCCGCGACGTGGAAGGTGGAGTTGGGGAAGACGAAAGAGGTGGTGTTGGAGGGCGGGGTGCCGGCGAATGTGAGCCGGGAGGACGTGGCGATTGTGGCGGACCGGCTGCTGGCGCGCGACGACACGAGGGGTTGGTTAGATTTGCTGGGCGGGGACGATGAGATTGAGGAGGCTGTGGAAAGAGCTGTGAGGGATCGAGTGGATGCGGTTGAGGGGGAGGATGTGGATAAGATGTGTGAAGGGATTACGTTGTGATACTTTCTTCTTTTGGTGGATCGAAGGGGTCGGTAAGGGTGAGCTACTGGTGTGTTTCAGTCGCTTCTGCAGTTCTGTCCCTGAAGTGTTTATCTGTTGGTTTGTTTTTACTTTCCATCGGTTAAATCTGCTCTCTATGAATACGTCTCTCTACCCTACCCCCTAAAACGGTTACAGGTATCTGTAGTAGCTATATAACTGATCATATTATCGCCGTTGGATAGTTGGTTGACCCGGCGTTAAACAGAATATCTCTGGCAAATCGTTATTAATATCACCTGTGTCATGTAATAAGCATATATGGAACTATCCGCCACTTGGGATGCAAAGGGGACAAAGACGCTGCATTAAATAAATATAGGGCATAACCCCGCACATAAGGAGGGAATGACATTCAGCCCATAAGAGATTCATGAGATAAAACATAACACATGTCCTAGGTCTGTCCGGGGAGTTAGAAAAACAATAAAACGGGAAGAGAAAAGTGGCTTACACATAAGAGAAAATGTCGTATAAATAAAAATCGGATAATGGACGGCCCATACCCCTGGCCGCCTGATATGCGTGGTAAAAAAAAAAAAAAAAAAAAAAAAAAAAACTGCAGAAAAATGCATCACATCATCTCGAACATGCACAAAAACATACATATATATATATATATAATGTAGAGACGCCACGCGCCTCAGCCATGCTTCAATTTCTTCCCGGTTTTTATTTCCTCCATTTTGACATCCTAATCTGCCCGGCCGATTCCATTTCGCCTTGGATAAGAGGAAGATAATGCCACACTGGGAACGCTTCAGGAAAAAGAGTGATAATTGGAGATGCAGAATGGGGGGCGAAAATGCACTAAAAGCAATGTATTGATACCTTCCTCTCTTTTTCTTCATTGCTTTAAGCCTTTAGCTTAAGCCCATATGCGCATCATCGCCCAAGCCCCAGCCCCTTTCCGTCCTTTCAGCTGCTCCACCAGGCCGACTCCCAAAGCTGTCCACAGCATTCTCCGCTTCCTCAATTTCCTGATCACGGATGCTCCGGCTGAGGCTCTCGCCGTCTGCATCGGCCAAGGTCATGCTGTTAGCACCAGGCCTACTACGTCGTCGGGAGGTAAAACTGTTCCTACTACTACAACTGCCAGCGCCACCAGCATTGTCAAAACTGTTTGCGTATGAGGAGTGGGAGTGGTTGTAGGAGGTAGAGATGGATGTGGGACGAACGTTGGTGATGTTACTACTCGACGGCCATGGGACTTTCATCGCGGTTGAGCTTGCGCTTGCGTTTGCACTTGCGCCTGTGCTTGTGGCAATGGCGGCTGAGCCTGATTCGCTATTGTGTACACTGGAGGTTGAGCCTGGCGAGGAGGCTAGGGCCCTTGAGAGCTCGCTGCTGCCGAACCAACGCCGCTTGCGGACCTTGCAGGAGTCACATGGCGGACAATTGTTTCTTTCCGTCTCTAAGAGGTTATCTTCGTACTGATGTTTGATTGACTGTGATGAAGAGGATGATGGGCCCTTCTCTGGAGTGGGAGAGGGTGGAGGAGTGACTTCTGTGCTGGGAGATACTTCCACGAGCTCAGCATCTCGACACCATTTCCGCCGCCTTGTGTACCTGCCCCAGCCGTCTTGGCCACGGCGGCCATCGTTCCACTATTGCTCGACAATTTAGTAATTATACGAATACATAACTTATACAAGGATTTAAAATAGGATAAAAACCTATTGCTATATAAGTGGGCTGGTAAATACGGAATAGATTCTTACTTTGTTATCGTAGTATATCCAGCCCTCATCCTCGCCAGCACCATTCCCGCTAGTGTTTTGAATTGATTTCGAGGACTTTTTGGTAGGGACATCGGACGGGCTGTTGTCGATCCGCCATTCACTTCCAGGTACCCATCTCCATCTCGCACTTCCGCCTTCTACTTCAGGCAGTTCAAAGTCGTCCTTTTGTGGAACAGGATTGAGATGCTCATCCGTCCATGCGGCACGCTCATATGTGAAGAGTGAATAAGTCCAACCAATGCCCAACCAACGACGTTGATTTTCATAGAGGATGAAAGTGAAACGGACGCCGGATGAATCAGCTCGCCGTTTTTTCATTGAAATATTAGCTGCTGAAGTATTGTTATCCTGTTTGCGGCGGAAAGGGTTTAATGAGAAAAGAGGAGACTTTTCTCTAGCGTCGGAGTCTTTGTCGCTCGGATGAGAGTCGGAAGAAAATCGAAGTCCTGTTATAATGGAACATAAGCGACGGATATTTAATGAGCGCCAGAGTATGACACGGGATATGCGTGCTGGTTTAGAGTGCCATGTGAGAATAACTGTGCCTATCGAGAGTATGACACGTCGAGGAGTGATGAGGCGGAAGGGTGGTAAAGTTAGAAGGATCCAAATAGGGGTTACGAGAACTATTCGCATTGTCAATGATATCAACGCTGGCCTAGTTGTTGCAGAAGTAGCTGTCCGCTGGGTGGAAAGGAAGTCCGTCAGTTCGAGCAAAGGTCCTAGCAAGATATTGCACCTGGTCGTGAATGTTCTCAGGGTTTCTACAATTTCATCCAAGCTCTTCTGATGCTTGGAGGCAGCATCCCCTTCCCCGAGCCCTTTATGCTTTTCTCCAGTAAGGCCTGTTGATGATAATGGAGAATATCGTCGCGAATACATAGCCAGAATTAATCCCAGCACAACCAGAATAGGCCCCGCCCAGAGTAGTATCATATCTCCGTATAAAACAGTTGCCCAGAAGCCAGCAACCAGAAGGAAACTCTCCCAAGGATCCCCGCTAGACCATGAAAGCAAACCCGCCAGCCGGTTTAATGGGAGCAGGAAAGGATGGGAGTAGGCCAGTGCACGAGTGATTGGGGGAGGGGTTGCGACGAGAAGAGGTGATTTCCTGTGGACTATTACCGTTGAACGCTGTCTCGAAGCTAGGGATGATCCTGAAATATTGGTGGGAGAGAAGGCAGCGACTGTGGGTGGAAGTGCCGTAGTGGTGGCCAAGGAGGCCGCCGGGGCGCCATCATCGTGTGGATAGGTAGTCGGGGACATGGAATCTACCCAAGGTGTTTCTGTATAGATAGTTAGAAAACGGAATACGAGATCTACACACAAGCATGTATGCGCACACATTTACATATAAATATGCTCAGAAAAGCGCAGAAGGGTGCGGGGACAACTATTACCGATTGCTGCCATACAACCAAGAACCCGTTAACCACCTGCCCAGAAGGTCATTCTGGGGTGTCACAAGTCACACTTTTGAACAACGTACGGCACAACGTTTAGTTTATAGCGCTATCCCAGTATCGACGAGCGAGGCATGAGGCCGCGGGAGATGTGGAGGAGATGTGGAGGAGTTGGCAGTTGAGCCGGGAGACTTCAAGGTTGGTATTTATATATATCGAGGAACTTCGTGATCGCCCAAGCTCCTTCCCTGCTTATCCCCAGTTCCAACTTGGAAGGTTAGATCCATTGGATGCTTGGCTGACTGTCACGTGCAGTTTCCCGAGGCGCATGTGACGTCAAGCTGCTAGGTAGCCCCCGGCCTGGAGCGAGTTGATGGGGCAGTCGATGTTCAGAGTAAAGATTTCAGAGGGTTTTGATATGTAATGGATGGAAGTGAAAGGAGCAATGATGAAAGGGCTAACCCTAGACCCTGGTCAGCACTGGAGGCAGTACCCGCCGGATGGAAATTCTTAACTGTTCTCTGGATGGGAATCCCTGAAAATGTACGGCATCCCAGGAGAATTCATAGAACCCGCGAATTCTTTGGCATTATCTATAGAAATACTAGTCTTAAAGGGACATTGCACCTTGGGGAAACCTAGCTCCGCTGTCCCTAGCGCTCTGCATAATCTACCAAAACCAATAGGACTTCCTATACGGAAATCGTTCATACGGGTCTGCCAGCACTGGAACAACGCAAGGGACTTGGAATGAAAACTCTTAAATTTCTTTATGAGGATATGTGGATATGTGCCTCAGGGAACACCACAAATCATTAAATCCAGGGCATTGTTCCGCAGACTTCGGGACATGCCATTTCATTGCCATTTCATCTCCTCCTTGAGACCTGGTGTTGTGATGCCGAAGGCAGATTGGTTTCCGATCCACTAAGCTTAAAGTAGCAAGGTGTTTCCAACTTCACACTAAACCGGATCGGGCCTGAAAATATCCTCCAACCAGTTCGACAGCGCAAACGACGAAATTATCAATTTGTTGAACACGACCATTCACGCCCTTGGTCCCTCATTCCTAATCTGCCATCTATCGGGCAGTCGAGGCTGGAACAGCTATTCTCATATTTTGAGTAGTTCTCTGAAGAAATTGGGATGGTATGTTGAATTCTTCTTACAACTTCACCCTGTCTTCCCCTCACAGCCAGACACACAAGTTTACTAACAACAATTATGGCTCCCTCCAGGCACACCGGATCGTAACCCAGATAGTCCTCACGGGCGGTCGGGTCTTTGGAAGAGCCTTTGCGGAAGCATATAAGCAAGCCTCGGCCGCGTCGAAATATGCAGCCCAGGCGCAAAACGGCAACGGAACCGCGGCCAACAACTTCGCCTCCTCGGGTCTTACGCTCGATGAAGCCTGCAAGATCCTGAATGTGAAGCCTCCAATGAGCGGCGAGGCAAACATGGAACACACAATGGAACGTTTCAAGAAGCTGTTTGACGCAAATGATCCGAAGAAGGGAGGGAGCTTTTACCTCCAGAGCAAAATCCTACGCGCCCGCGAGCGGATCGAGATGGAGGTGCGAGATGCCGAGCGCAAGGCTGCCATGGAGAAAGAAGTGAAAGAAGGGTGGAAACCGAAGGTGTATAAGGATCGGTGACACCTCCTCCCCCGCCCTGTTAGTTTCGACATGACGAGGAATAATGCCAGGCTATCTAGCTCTCCGATGTACGCCTCGTCAGATCAAACGACCTGCTTGGGTATATGCACGCGGCTATGGCATCGCCCCGCAAAATATTTTTCTGTTGATATATATCGCTACTACTTTTGGTTTTTACTGCATAGCACAGGCGTCCTTGGTTCTCTTTCTTCTTGAAGCCTTAGGGGCCTCGTCTCAACTTCTGTCCGACTTTATCACCTTTTTTTTTTTCTTTCTCGGCCGGCATTTACTCCGATGCACGATACCGCATTTGTATTTTTTGTATTTTTTTTTTTTTTATCTTTTTTTCTTCCTGCGACCATCATATCTTCCCTCTGCTCTCCCAGTGTCACGTGTGAATAATCGAAGCAGCGACAAAGCATCGCACCCATGTCTGTTTTGAATGCTACTCAAAGCGCTTGCTCGACGACTGTTCCCACACTGTGGTATGGGAGTATGGGAGGGTATAGCGCGTACCTTTGTATACGATATTTAACTGCTTTCCCCCCCTTCCCCCCCCGTACGTTGTGGGCTATCTCATGGACGAACCATGAGAACGGAGGATTCTGTCCACCTTATTGGCCTGCCGTCCGTACGTTTCCAATTCGTTTGTCTCCACTCTTATTTGCTATGATAGACACTTTATATCTGGCGGCTGGCGTTTCATGTATAATACACATTGCCTTTTGGGATTTTTGCATATATTGGCGATAGTAGGGTGTGTAAAAAAGGAAAAAAATAAAATAAAAATAAATAAAAATAAAAGGGAGAAGAAGGAGAAGCAGACAGCACAAGGGATGGAAGGGGTTGGAGTGGCCCAAAAAATCGAAAAGCGCACATTCAGGGCGGCTCTTGTCCACAGTGTGAGCACGGCGATGTATGTATATACCAGTACTTTGTAATTATAAAATTAAGCCAATCTGATCTACTACGCTTTCGATACGAAAATATATTTTTATCTACTTTGTTACCTTGGGAGCTGGGCTAGGTACTAAATAAATAAAAATCTCCCATGGCTCAATCCTAATTTAATTTAATTTAGTTGACTTTTTTTCGACCTGTGTCACCTTCTGCATCTGACCTTTCCATAACCAAACCAAGTACAACCACCTGCCACGCATTAACAGCAATCATTTATTGATCTAGACCTGTCGCGGATAATCACAGGCAGATGACCACATATTGACGACGAGCGAAACGCTCATGTTACAGTCAGAAAGCCGCTCATCAATCCAAGTTGATATCCAGATTTCTGTTTGTTAGATACAAACTTCCCCCAACTTGCTTCTCTAATTCCTAATCGTAGGGCAATGAGTTTGTGCTTCGAAACGGAGCGGAATACTAGAGGTTGTGGGACAATGAGTGAAATTGTTGGTTCCTATCTAACTAATTATTAATAACTAACAGCGGTCGCTCCGTATCATAAAACTACAAGTCAAAGCATAAAAAAAAGAGAAGAAAGGATGACAGGTACACAATTTGGATGTGGGAAGCCAGCTCTGTCATACTCATCAGATAATCTGATAACGAAACATGAGCGACCCAATTAAGGCAAGAAATCGAACGACAAAAAGGAAAAATTAAATATTAAAAGAGAGGAGCGTTTAACGACAGAAACACAGCCCGGGACAACAATAATCTACCAGCAAAAATGAGTGAAAGTGATAAAACAATATCTAATATTGATTTTGTTTCAACGCACTAATCGCATGTTTGTTAGCCAGTACTTGAATAGAAAGCAATTGGAAAGGATTCTGCGAGTAAATACCGGGAATAAGGGTTCGAAATCGTCACAGAGAAGCACCACCAATCCCAATCTCAGAAATATGCTTCTCCATTCGAACGAAGACATGGGTTGACTGCTGGGTTGACTGGGTTTCCTGATATTATATGTATGGCATTATTACTCCGGCGTCTCAACATCCTCCGTCGCCTGAATCGTTCGTTCCTGCTCTGATCCCGTTGTTCGGTTCGGCTCCTCCCCTTGCCGGGGAGACACAAGAGGTTCGTCCACGGAACACTTACATTCCGGGCATCTGCTGGCGGAGAGATAACACCAGGCGAATGTTACGAAGTACCAGAAGTACCGGGATGTCGCTGGATTTCGCCTCTCCTCCCAGTAACGCCACCTGGTTGGCCGAACATTACGGCATTTCTTGCAGAAACGCCAGTAGGTCCCATGGGAATTTTTGACTAAAGTCGGGAGCATTAGCACTGACAGGTTGCCCACTTCTGAACAAGGGTAGAGGTATACCATTTGCCCGTTCGGTCCTGGATATCAGAGTAGCATCTGCGGGTGTATCCTCAGGCAAGGCTACATTAGCAGCATTGTCTGGGCCAGTAGCGTTATTGGGCGTAGTTGGAGCCGTAGCAGTGCCATTAGGTGCAGATTGAACAACCGCAGTATCAGCCATGATTCCTGCTAACGGGTAATGGTCCGATATTATGCTCGAGAGCGCAAACGATCACTTTGTTACGGCGCGAATGCCCTTGTCGAGAACAGTGCGGGAGTTTTGCAAATGTACTTCCTCTACACCTTCCAATTAATGTATGTATAAGGGTTGCAGCCTGTTTCTTCTGCTCTTAGTCTTATTCGACTCGACTCCCATCACACGTTGCACTATATCCCTCTGAAGTCTTCAAGGGTATAACTTACCTAGGAGCAGTCACAGCGCCATGAATGTCGAAAAGAGCTGGGTAACTGGGGGCCCCGCTGCCACAACAGCAGCTCTGTGCAATGAAGGAACGAACAACACGCAGACAACGATATTGCAAGCTACAAAAGACAGTATGGGGATCAAAAGAGTGTTCTATGGGGCTGTGGAAGTTGTTTGTTTTTCTGCGAGGATTGATGTCTGAGAATGGGCAGATGAACAACGGTTCGTGCACCGATGCATCGCGCTTTCCCCATATCCATTTCTGCTTTTCCGAAGCTGCTGAGGCAGGAATGGGCTCTTGAACAGGAAGGAGAGAGAAAGAAAAAGAAAAGAAATGCGGCAGGAATGTCCTAACCAGGGATACCGATTGTTCGAGTCGTTATGCCTGCCGGATATTGCGAAACAGGATGTTATTGGAAGGTCCAGAGAGAACAAATTTAATAAGACATGAGGTTGTATTTTGAATAGAGAAGGCGCTTCATATTCTAGATGCATATTTAAGTGGTCGTGCCCTTAGCCTGGCTGTCCACCAAGGGGTGGAAAGGTGGAAACCGCGGTTGAGAAATCATGCATACGTTCTGCTGTACCATATGAGAATCAGGATGCTACGATCATGCTGCACGTCGCTTGCATGAAAGGAGTGCTATATTTATCATGCATTGTCTGTTGATTAAGGACGGGGGTTAAGCGAGGGGATGATTTTATTGGATATTTGATTGATCTATATGCTGTCCACTTTTATTTATGCAGTGGAGGATTAACTAACATCAACACTAGCAGCTGATCCAACCTTCTAGGGGCCAGTGAATCATTCTGATATAAATAATCTCATCTCTATGTTCTACTGTCTTGATATCTAATTCTTCTATCTGAAACCCCTTTTTTGGTATAACATTGTATTACCTGATATAGCTCTATCCGAGATCCTCGGCCCGCCGCTACCAATTTCTCTTTCTTTCTCTTTTTTCTTCTCTTCTCTACTCTGCATTATGTCTTGTTACTAGACCTCTTAGTTTGTTTATATATTAATATCAAGCACCTTCTATTATTTAATTCAAACCCATAGAGAGATCCTTCCACTCTCACCGCTCTCGGAAATATATGAGACTCTGTGGCCGCCATGAATATTCTCCCAAGCTCAATGCAATAAATAATGAGACCAGTTCAGAAGACGAAATTCTCATTATGGGAAGAACAGTCACAGAACGGTCTTCCTCAAGCCAGGGAAAAATTATTCCTCAGAAAAGGCAATTTGAGCCGGACTGCCTTCCTGTTTCTATGCCATCTTCCCATAATCTGACAAGCACAACTGAATCTAGATCTATCCCAGTTCAGCTTCCCACCGAGATCCAATCACCGTATTTTCGATTTTTTGGATGTGGAAGATGTCTTTCTTCTGGGCCTTAACTGTCGGGGGCTATGGACCCTCGTGAAACCCGTAATTGTAAAATATTTTGCGGGCTACTTGGGCTTTTGGGCGGGAATTCCGGTCATTTCTGTATTGCGGGTTCTTTGACCAGCTTGAGCGTGGCCGTTTGATGTGCGGCGATGCTTAACCGGCGAAGACTGCGGCCTTGTCCTCTTTGCTTGCCAATGAAAAATGATAAGCGATGATATTAGGGACGGAGGAGTCTACAAATAAATGTACGTACTCCGGAGATAGAGCTAACAACCAAGCATAACTACACGTGAGACACGGACAAATCTGCAAGCCGCAGGCCGTCTACGTAAAGGTGATCTGGATTGGAATAAACTGGCCGCGTCATTTCCGACTGTGACAACATCTTGCATCAGACCCCTCTGAGCTCCCAAAGCCTATCTTAAGCCTCCGAGAATTGCTTCCTTCGGTTGATCAAACTGCCTTAGTCAGCTAAAGATCAAGCGAAAGCTAAGATTTAGATCTCTTACCAGCTTTTGTTGCTTCCAGTTAACAATGGTACTAATTGACCTGGGCAGATAAACAAGCCCCCTTGGAGCCGGCTTGAAACCATGTTTGTCTTTCATCTCCTTGAGGGTTATCGGCTGTTTGAGCTCGTAGACAAGTGACCATCTCGTACGCGAAGTCGTAACCATCCCAGTCCTTGTGTTTGCTGTTGAATTCAGCATTACCCAGTCCATCTTCGTCCAGAGGACGATCGCCGGGTTTTCGAGTTCGAGCGGGCTTAGTTTCACAGACATGGGTGATGCTGGAGAGCGGAGCAGTCCGATAGAACCAGATTCTTTTAGCACTAGGCATGAGGCAATATTTCCTGAACTCATAATTCTTCCTTCCGTCGGTAATCTGGGTCATGTAGGGGTCTTGCATGGGTAAAATAACGTCGCTGGTGGCGCGTTCGCCCGGAGCCTTTTTCATGTGTGGCATCAAGAAGCCATAATGTTGTCTACATCAAATGTAGATGTGCAGCGATGTTGAAGACTGGGAAACTAAGTAGGTAAGGCTAGCATGAAAGATGAAGGGGAGCCTGGAATACTTCGCAACACACGTATCTTATCAGGGTAACCTGCAAAACAAAGAACCGATTCGCCCAAGACTATTATAACTGCACAAGCACTCTCTTTTCCTCTCACCAACCACATCCACAACGCACACGTCTATCATCAGTGCTACAGGAGCGGCAACAGTCTTAGCCGCCCCAGTTCATCGTCAATTCATGTACGGAGTGTGTCGCATACCGCCTGAAGAAGTGGCACGGGTTCGAAACAGAAACGGCGGTTTACTTCGGGGCCAGTAAAGGCCCGCACAATAGTCGCCTGTGTGAGGGATGTAAGGATGGGCATTGCAGTCAGATGGAGAGTGATGGATTTTGTCAAAGCAATGCGTGGGCTCTCCATCTACTAGCTCGTAAATTAGGCAGTCAAAAGTCTTTTGGCTGCAGTTGGGTTGCTCGTCTAGAATCGGAAACTGGGGAACATGGGGGATTTACGAGGCAACTTATATTGCTTCCCGAGCCATTATACTGTATGCAAGAGTTGGTGGCTTCTGGCCTAGAATAAAACGTAAATCACATTCTCGAACCCTACTGCCGAGATGTTAGACTATTTTGGGACCTGAAGTTGGCGGCATCAGTAAATGCAAATTTTGGTGCCAAATGCAATTCCACGTTGCAAAATGCCTCTCTAGTCCGGGGCCTTCATGAAAAAGTAACTCACGTTATTAAGTAGTAAGATACAGGCAAGAAGATTTTGTTCTCGCGATAGTTACAACATGTATGGTCACTTGATATCTGTTGAATATAGCGAATGAGGATGCTTATATTGATCCTGATGACATGGTTATTTTGTATGGAATGGAGGCGTATGCATTATACCTATAAACAATTAGCTGCTCCTGGCTGGGCGAAAACATAAATTCAAAAATTCAAAAATAAAAAGAAATCACAAGAATAATGGAAATAAATAAAACAGAACAAAACAAAATGCGGCATATGACGCTTGCATATTGAAATTGAAGATGTCGTAACAGGGATGAAAAAATGATGAGGCAATCAGATAACCAAGCATAACTATCATTCATTCATCAATTGGCTAACCTAAGATATACAAGCTGATGATACAGAAACGCATTTTTCACTTCTCAACTGGCTCCAATGGGGATGGAAGCAATATAGCCTCTATGTCCTTAACATCGACATCCTTTTCGACTGCCTCTATCATAAACACTGGTTTTGCAAGCCGGCTCATCCATGTCGCAGTGGTTGTCACAGGGGGTATTTACAAACCCTTTCCCGGGACTCTCCCAGGTATAATTCACCCAGTCCGGCCCGAGGATTTCGCGAATCCCTTCGGCCAGCTTTAATATGCGCTGGCGTCTGTCTCGGGACCACTTGCGGTCGGCGATATCACCGGATGGGGTAAGAGCGCTGGGAGTCTTAGACGCGGCGGTGGATGATGAAGGACTAGAGGCACCAGTTGCCACCATAGTTCCTTCGGATAAATATTCCACCTCCTCGGAAGTGGGAGCATCGTCCTTGTCTCCTTTGTCCTCCAGGCCATCGATAATACTTCGCCAAACACGAAGAGTTTCATCCAGCTCATCAATATTGCTCACACCCATGACGCTGACCCCTAGTCTCCGTCCGACACCATGTGTAACAGCAGAGGTGAATCCCGGATCTGCATCCGGGAAACGCGCAAGCGGTGGCCCCAGGACACCAACAGGTGAGCCCTCACGTAACCATGACTCGAGAGCATACCGTATAGCGACAACTTCAATTTTTTCGCCCTGGTGCGCTACCCACTCACTTGCAGCAAGTATAGCATTTCGTAGCCCATCAGGCGCAGGATGGAAATCACCCATACTCCCAATTGGGACACCTTTGCGCCTCAGCAGGCCCATTCCTAGTGGGGAGGCATTGGGAACCACGTCGACTCCCGCAGCAACAAGGCGCGATAGGCCCTCCACAGCAAGTTTTGTGTTTTGCAATGTAAAATTAGCATACGACATCACGGCATCCAGCGGTTCACCGGTTTCTTCTAAAACCATCTCTGCAAGCGAACACAAAATGTCCACAGGGTATCCTGATATCCCGATATAACGGATTGACCCCTCCACATCCCGTATTCTGCGCAACTCCACAACCGCGCCTAAAACCTCCGCCGGAGAAACAAACTCGACATCGTGACAGTATACGACGTCTAGGTAGGATGTATCAAGCCGGGATAAGCTGCGTTTTATACTTTTTCGTATCCATGCCGGAGAGTAGTTGAAGGACTGTGCAGCGATGCGACCAACCTTGGTGAGCAGACGGTAGGTGTATCGCGGAAAATTGGAACGCACGAAGTAGGCGGATAGAGCACGACCCAGCAATTCCTCCGCTGGCCCGTAGTAAGGTGATGTGTCAAAAGCCCTGATACCGGCAGACAATGCGCGGTGGACTATCGCAGTTGTGGCGAGGGCATATGGGTCAGCATTGTACTGTGAGTTAAAGGTCGCTGTTCCGAAAATGATGGGCGGTAAATCCGCTGAGAGCGGTACAGAAGGTCGTCCCATGCCCCTCAGTTCATGGGTACTACTAGTATCTGCCAGACAGCAGCAATGAATAAGCGACGAAAGGTTGTCAGGCTATATAGTGTCTGGTTAGAGAATACTTGTAATATAGTAGAAGGAGGGGTAAATCTTAAGCCTGCTGCTGCATTGTAAAAATGGGCTTGAATTAGGTAGGGAGGGGGGAAAAGGCCAAGCGACGAGGGAAAACCTCAACTGACCCTCCTCGCCTTGAAGGGAACGGAGGAAAAAGAGTGCGATATGCCAAAGTCCATTTTGTCCTGCCTCTTTTCTCGGGTAGACTACCATGGAACGGGGGAAGGGCAACCCGTCGATTCTATTCACATTATACTTGAGTGTCAAATCTTCTATCCTCAAGTCTAAATATCAGGTTCTATTGATCACTATAGATCTTGACCATCACTTACTGTTTCAATTTAATTTCAGTTATATTCATATTTAATCTTCTTATATCCTAGCTATAAGATGTTGGAGAACTTGAGTGATCTTGCTCACTGACTTGCTAAGCAATGCACTGGCCCAAGCGAGGAATCCATTGATCCAACTGCACAAGAGCGCCTAGACGGCGTCGTGAACGTCACCTACCTAGGGCAATCATATTTTGAACCGGAAGCAGTGGACGCGCTTACAGCGGCTGTCGTGGGTCACGGTGGAGAAACGTTGAAGGGGAGAGTCGAACGCACCATGGAGGAACGGTTCAACCGTCCCTCGAAATGAAGCAAGCGGCGGAGATTTTCGAGTTTGTACAGCACATGATTGAGCACAGATTTTCGAGAAAGTGCTTGATACTAAATTATCCCCCCAAAACTATCCAAAGACTTTTAAATCAAATCGCTGGTCTCTAACATGTGGGCTGAGACTGAAGAGCGAAGAAGACCCTTGGGATGGATCAGGAAATGGGCCTCTGAGGTCGGCAGGCAAGAAGGGCAAGGAAAAGATAACACAAGACGCGACAGAATGGGTCTCTAATCACAGATCGTACCGAAGATGTGCGGATTATATTACAGCGTATGTCATGCAATGTACGGAGTACAGAGTACGGAGTAGTTATTCGATCTTTTTATATGGAAATTGGTGGTTCTTGGCTGAGTGCAACGAGGCTCCCTCCCTGTCCCTCAGGCCATGCAGCGATCACATTTGTTTCAGATTTACATAGTTCTTTGATGCTGTGTGACAGGTCTGATAAAATCCCCGATCAAAATGCGAGAGGCAGTTCTCTGTGCCGCTTGTCGAAGCAAATTTCAAGCAGGCGGGTTCCAAGGGTTCCAAGATTGATGCAGGCTTTTCCTGCAGCGTAAAAACGAAGGACTACTCCGTACAGAGTACAGATTACAGAGCACTGCATCCTAAATTAGTTGCCCAACTCGTTGGCTGCCCCCCTAAAACTTTGTCGAAGCCTCTCCTGAATAGTTCCAAAATGCTAACGTTTTAGCTTGTGAGTGAGCTAGCCCCGCTGATCCCAACATACTAGCTTGAGCTCGGCCCTCGAAAAAGCTCGTCTTCCATCAAGGAAAACAGGATGTAGCTGTGATTTGCAACATCCTGGCGCATATACATACTGCGTACGGAGTAATTGAAAGACCAACTCTCTCCGGACAATTGAATGGGACAATGAATAGGAAAACAGCGGTCAATGGGTTCAATAACAGTACTTATTTCTGACGCCGCACATCGCAAGCACGAGTATGACGTTTAGGAGTACAGAAACGTTCGCACTCAGTGCAGATCTTCGCCCGGCGCGTGGTGGCCGTTTGGCGATTTGCATTTTGTAATTTTGAATTTTTCCTTTGCCTCCGCCTTTCGAGAGGCGAGCTGAGAGAAGAGGCATGTTCAGAAGTTGCATGTAAGTCATATATTCCCGCGGTGAGATCTCCCCTGCCCTCCAAATCCTCCTATTTATATGCCTTCGATTCCCTAAGCAGAGTCCACGTTGTTGAGAATTAGCTATACTTAGTCTATCTCTACTCTTTTGACACTATCATAGGTATGATTTCTTCCCACCTTCTCGGTTTTACCACACGTATTCTTTCCCAGCCCGTCTGATTAACCTACCACAGTTGAATCTCATCGCCCAATTCCAACCCACCCTGCCGGCTACCAGAATCGGAAGACACGCGAATATGAAGCTTACCTGGGTATTTACTGTCCTCTTCGCGGGCATTGTGACAGCGAGTCCGATCGTAGGTGGAGAAATGAGCCCAGCTAGACGGGATAATGCGGTGCGTTTTCAACTGTACTGAATTGTGGCTCTTTCGATATCCCGCCTGCGTGAAATATTCGGGGCAGGCGAGAGATACTGTGATCTTGGTGCTAAAGGTGAAATAGATGGCGCTCGATAACCGTTGCCAAAGCAAGGAGACGCAGTGCGGAAGTGGGAATGATTGTGCTGATGGATGCTTCTGTGATGCTGTGGTGAGTTAATAATAAATCATTATCCTTCATTTCTTCCCCGTCTCGCCCCAACGGAAAGGTGGAATAGAGATTCGGGAACGGTTACCACAGGGGACAAGAGGAATGTGATGAAATGAAAGAGGAGAACGAAATAGAGAGGTCTCGAGCTAATGTTTTATTTTTTTCAATTAAAAAAATAGAGAAACATCTGTGTCAACAAGTAAATGGGTTGGGGCGAAAAACAGGGGCCCTGTCAGCGACGACAGCAACTACATCCTGAGGCACCATAGCGGTTAGTGATGTCTGGTCCTGTGAATTCTTCAACAGTGCAGAGGAGAATTCAAAACTCGGGATATGGGATGAGAAATTGGCGATTATATCGAGGCTTGTGGCAGCTTTTCGGTTTTTTTTTTTTTTTTTTTTTTTTTTTTTTTTTTTTTCCGCCCCCAGTGTACTATTTACTATACATGACCATTCTTATATTCTCTGATGAACTCGTTAGAAAAAGATAATAGGAACAAGAATAATAAGAATAGAAATAGCAATGTAAGATCTCAAGACAAAACAGCAATACAAAAGCGTAGCCGGCTTCGTTTCAAGGACAAAATTACTATTGTGAAAAAGCAGGAGTGCTGAGGAAAATTAGCCTGGGACACGTAGCCTTTCAGAGAACGATTGCATTCATTAAGCATTCCTCTCCATATGCCTGCATCTAGCAGGCTATATGGTGAGAAGGAAGGTAGGGAGGTTGGCGAGTCCCGGGGGACGAACAGGGAGGAGGGGGGAGAAAGTGGACGACCGTGACAAAAGGGTACTTAGCCTTTATTATTGCATTGTGCCCGAATTATTTGGGTGGATTGCTTCATGACGCTGATCGTGATATTTCATATACTTTGTTGATTTCTGGGATGAAAAACGTCAAATGTTTTACGCGATGCCGTGGTATTTTCCAATGGAAGAGGAGTGGGAGAGGGAAGTTGGAAGGCAATGCACGAAGAGAATGCCCGTAGGACCGGATGTTTGTTCTATATTTGTTAATTATTTTTAACGTTATGGTGGGATTTTCGGGCCCTGTTCGATTGTCAGTTGATTGAAGCTAGGCGAGAACCTAGTACCTAGCGAAAGACGAGTTGGAGACTGGAGAAACAATGGCGTGGTAAGGAATGATTACCACAATGCGATATGTGGAGCAGTGTCGTGAGCCAAAATAAAATATGTCATGTTAATTGGGTGTAACAGTGAAAGGAATCCGTCCGGTGCGCTATAGCACAGAACCACGATGAGTAGCAAAATCAAGTCAATCCTCCGTCCTGCCGGTACCATTTGCCTGTAGTTAATATTTATGGGTATCATGCTAGTATAATCATACAGAAGCGCCGTTTGAGTTGGAAAGACGAGAAGGCAAAAATAAAATAAAATAAAATAAAATAAAATAAAAAATAAATAAAATAAAGGCGAAGGATAGAGAAAAGGGAATCAATAAGTCATAAATGCCTATATAAATGGGCGCAAGGCGCCCGGGGAAATCCTGAGAAGGATTGGAAGCCATCGAACGAAGTCAAAGCTGAAGACAAGATGTCCAGTGTGCATGAGGCGTTGATTCGATGCCAACGGGACACAGAACAAATTGGCCAGTAGGCAGCCGGCTTAGTCGGCTGCATATATTCACTGTAGAAGTGCCTTTTCCCTTCGGCATAAGTCGCGGTCCATTTCTGCAATTGAGGAATACCCTCCAATTTTCACAGCAGCTTCGAGGTTCACAAACTTAGGAACCTTTAAGGTAGGTCGAAGCTTCCTAAGTCGATTGGCGCGATCTAATGCCGCGGACTGCTTTTTAGATAGCTTGGGAGCTTGTGATGAATCATCACTGTGCTGGTTACCTTTCGCAGTCACAATCGGTGGTTCTTCCGGTGGAGGTGGCGGAGGAACTTCTGGAGCCTCTGGAGGAGGGTTGTCGGGAGGAGGAGGCTGGAAGAAGTGCGTAAATCGAGGATCATTTTCACATAAGCTGGCAAGATGTGCGCGCTGACGATCGTATGATTCATAGTTAGCGCCAACAACTAAGCCCAGAAAGCTACTCATGTCTTTCCGTGGTGAAAAAGCTGCGTGCACTAGTTCTTGCTTAAGAGTTTGATACGCATCGGCAAAAGCCCTGAAGATCAATGGAATCTCCTTTGTTCCTCCTGAGATATCATTATGAGGATTGTTTGGGTCCAAAATTGCAAGTCGCTGCTGCTTGTTGGCTTGATAAACGCCAAGGAGCTTCTGTGACGGAGAGAGGGGTTAGCTTTTATAAACTTCAAAAAGGGGGATTGGTTGATACCTTATCGAAATAGCCCGGCGGATCAAATTGTATGCCAACCGTCCTGGAATCAAATTTATTACCATAAAAATCGAAAAAGTCCATGAGAACACCACCCAGGTTAGGCTCTGCGCCGCTGTAGGGGAGGTGCTGGAGGAGGCTAGTGACTAAACAAATGATTGAAAATCCACCCAAGCCACCAGTTGCTACCTCGTTGAGGCCGCGTAGTAGCAGAAATTGCTTTACCACGGAGACAATAACAGGCATAGCGGGAAATTGAGATTTCCAAACCTGAAATGTTTTGTTCGCTGTTATGCCAGTGGAGTTGTCGAATGATAAATCCACTTTCAAGCCTGTAAGCCTGTCTACGAATTTTATAATAGGGACCTTAGCATGAGCAATGGTTTCAACGGATCCGGGCACAGCGATGTCGAGATCTTTCAGATATGCAGCAAACGAGTGTATTTCACGCGGCCGTTGACAAAGGACTTTGCGACCTTGTCGAACAAACTGTCTTGAGCATAAGACAAGATCCATATCTGCGGTCGGAAGATAGAGGCCAGAGGCGAAGGAGCCAAAAGCACAAAGCTGGGAGCCATAATGTCTTCTTTCAAAGTGGCGCTGAAGCCGTTCGACCAAGTCATTCCTAATCGAATGCTCGAAAGACTTGGGCTTAACCCAGTGGTAAAAGCTAAGTATTTCGTTGTGCAACCTGCGCAGACGAGGGGTTAGCACTGTAATGCTAACTGTGGCGTTGATATAGCTTACCTAGATCCTAGGTGGAGAGTGGAAGGGCCTGAGGAATCCATCCAAGGAGTTGGGTTCTGGTCTTCGAACGGTTTCCATTTAAGAAGGATGGATCCATCAGAGTTAAAGAACTTCCCTTGAGCCCCACCGCGCCTGGGCTGCTCGATAATTTCATCGTCACGGGTTCGCTTTCTGCTACCAAGGGCCGGGTCACTATCCCGATTCATCAAGCTTTTTGGGCCTCGAGGTGCTTTTCCAAGGGGTTCATCCATCTCGACGTCATCCGTGCCGAAGGATATAAAATCATCATTCAAAACGACCGCGTTGTGCTCTTCAGGTTTGGGTTGTGGAGACGATTGTATTCTTGCCTTGCGGATCAGCTTTACAAAGTCTTTCCTCTTCACTGGGTTTTCATCTGATGGAGGTAAAACGGTGTATGGGTCTGGGTTCGACCATTTGGGGGCGTTTGCAGCGAGCCCGGTGTTAGACTCGATAGCTTGCTTTTTTCGCGGTGGTTTGGCCGCTTCATCTGTAGAGGAAACATCCATCTCCGCTTCATCGCTATCGGTTAACTCTTCTAGAGACATGAACTTTCTTGTTTTTTGATCATCGTTTTGCGGGTAACATAATAATTCAGGTGTGGTTTCCCTTGGTGACATCAATAATAATGGTCTCGCGGAAGTTTTGGGGAACCGAGATCGAAAGGTGAATTCAGGCTGTTCACGGGGTCTTCCTCCTTGCCTGTTCCCGCGAAACTCGAACTGTGGAGGCATGGCGGGGGTTTCCTCGTAATCGGCAGTACCCCAAAGTTCCTTTGCAATGTGCAACTACAGAGTGTTGTTGATGGTCGGAGGAAGTTGGAGTTGTCGAGGATTTTGGTTTGAGTGAGGTGGCAGTTTCGTGAGAAGGCGGTGAAGAAATTTACTCATGTCAAAGTAACTAACTGTTAGTTTAGGAATTCATATGGTATAATATACTAAATTTTGAAATGAAATAACATACAAAATGTTAGCCAAAAAAATATATATATATATATTATATTTTTATTTCAAAATTGATGGTGGAAGGTTGGCACATCTCTCTTCTCTCTTTATATCTCTTCTCTCTTTATAATAGAAAAACCAACTTTATCTTATCTCAGTAAAACCCAGCCACTCCACTTCGAGCTAACCCGATCCGAACTACTGCCAAGTCCTGCTAACATCTGAGCCAATCAACTGTCAAGGGGCTTACACTAAACCTAAATGGGACATCCTCAGCAAACTCTTCGCGGAGTGTCTGAGAAAAAACGGTTCCAGTTTGTTAGCAACACGGGAACGATTTGCTCCAACCATAATGTTTGAGATAGAATCACTGTACAACCTCACTTATAGATCATTTCTCTACCACCTTGGAGGGTTAATTTTCCAATTTCCTATCAATTGAACTAATTTTTATTCAAAAATACATATATTGTGAGTATGAAGTATCACGTTGAAAACTGCTACTCTGATTTTGAACACGGGAATGATTTGCTAATTTTTCAACCATGATCATGTCTAATCACTCAATGCCTTGATCTTGTCATCAAAACATATATCTGGTCATCAGTAGCTCTAGTCAAAGCACTGAGTGTATTTTCTGATGACTTCTGACATCTTTTGATGATGTCCAACAACTTCTGACAACTTCCATCAACTTCACATAACTCTTGACCACCTCACACAGCACATCAACTTCTGACAACATCTGGGATCTTTCAACAACTTCTGGAATCTTTCAACAACTTCTGGACCAATCACGTAACACCTCTTTTTGACAGCTGGGTCAGACAACTCTGTTGAATATGGCTAAGAGGGATTGAAGAAAACGCAAAAATCAGCAACAACAGCAGCTTCAAAAGCTATCATTAAAGCAAATACTTTCCATGAAAATTGAAGACATGCCACAAGTTGTTATGAGCTACGCTGAACCCGAAAGTATCGACAAGCAACAGGATGTTATTGAGTATTATCTTCGATGAATCCTTCAAGGCCCGCGTCCAGATTCTAAGTGCACTCTTCGGCCATATATAGAACAAATCCATATACTCCGATGCATGATATATGGATATAGCGACACTTTATTCATTGGTCAGCTAAGTTAACAGAAGTGGAAAGAACATGTCAGAAAAGAACAGAGATTATCAATTTTTACTAAAAATTTGAAAAATTAGATAGAAATATTAATAAGTTAAGAATATCAACTCATACCTTCTTCTGTTTAGCAATTTCTGTCATCAATTTATTTCCCATCACATAGCTGAGACAGAGTTCAAAGTTAGAAATCATTTCTATCACTCATTGTTTTACTTCTGAGTCATGAAAATATGCAGAGAGAATAGAGCTGAAGAAGTTTGAATTCTTCAAGAAATAAGAGTGGTATATAATACTCATAATAACAAACAGCTATTTGATAGCTGTTGTTTTATCTGAGGCTCATTCATAGCTCTTTTGATTTGCACATTTATTCTTTAGAACAGAAGTAAGCAGCTTAAACCAGGTTGATGCATCAGTTCAGATGGTCTCAAAAGCAGCCTGGAAATTGATGGTATCAAGATCAACACCATGGTTGAATTTTGTAAAGTATGGAGTATTGATAAGGTGTTTCAGCTCCTGTTTAAGCAAGGCAATATAATGGTGATGACCATGAAATGCTTCTGACTTTGAGAGTGCTGAATGTAGTGCATTCCGCCGCTTTGCAGGAGTACGGTATCGTTTATGAGTCAAGATATCAGGACTCTGAATCCAAGCATCTATAAAAGCTTCCATTCCGCAACCATTTCGCTGTAATGCTTTGACAATGCGAGATAATTTTGAACGTTTTTTCTGCTGGTTATGAGGCATAGTAGGCAAGCGCTGTGGGTCACAAGTGTTTGGTTGTGAACAAGCTGGTGGGGTATTGATACCAGTGATCTCGAATTCCGAAGAAGTATCAATAGATTCAAGGTCTGTTAAATCACTATCTGATGTCTCATATCCATCATCTAGATCATTGAGAGAGTGTAGTGGTTGTTGAGAGGATTCATCTTCAAGTGATGAAGGATATTGGTTGAACCGCGTCTGATGTTGGGTGTCTTGAGATTCAAAAGACACGGTGTCTTTGGTCAATGGTTGTGGCATGATGAAAGGAGGTAGCAAGTTGCAAAATAGCAGAGATGATAGTGAGATGGCTAAGGATTCAAAAAATATCAATTTGATGATGATCAGGTAGATATTTAAGGTAGATGTATGATTCCGAAGTCAACTGAATATTTTGTATGAGCAGGTTTGATTTTCCACAGACGATGGAACCGTTTCTTCTCAGACTCTCTACGAGATATTATGTTGTGAGCACGTGTGGAGTAATTGATTGGTCCAGAAGTTAGCAGGACTTGGCAGAAGTCTAAAGAAGTTTAGTTGATCGCGCTAATCTGAAAATATCGAGAAAAGAGGCTGAGCATGTGTAAGCAGCGATGTTGGAAATGGCTGCTTATATTTCGGTTGGTCCTTAGGACTCTACGAGGATCAAGCAGTAGGAGATAATACGGTGATATATCGGAGAGGATTCGGATCAAGTAGTTAGATATTGAGGGTGTAGAACGTAGGGGTCAGATTATAACAGAATGATCCGCTGGTCCCTAGAAGGTTGGACCAGCTGCTAGCTATATACACACAGTATCATAAGCAGATCGAACTTGCTATGATGTAGATGGCGTAGTATGATGCAAGTGGCAAGATAATGCCTTGATTTCAAACTTGATATGACGTTGGTGGTGCTATGTTCGGCGATGTCATATCCTGATATGACGTTGGTGGTGTTATGTTCGGCGATGTCATATCTTTAGGGCTATCGCTAATTCCGGCCTAGCACTGGCACCCTAGTGCGGGTTTCTTACAGCATGCTGAGATAAACTTTTTCCGTGAAAAAAATACTGTAACGTGACCTCACGTGATATCATGTGCACCCCATCAAATTCATGAATGAATTGAATGGCTGGCTCTGCAGCCTGTACAGCTCTGATATTAATCTTCATTATTTTCTTTACAGATGTTTTTTACTGTATTTACATTCTTTATACTCTTCTCTACATTCATTACAATCTATATATGTTCATTAATATACTCATTTCATGTGTTTTTGCTCAGTGTGTAGGGATTCTCATTCTCTCAATGCATTTGAACAGTTTCAATTCAATACATTATTTCATACATGCTTTATATGCTGTCAAATTCAATATTGTATATGTAAGACACATTCAATTCAAATCTCTTATCTATCATTAAGGGATGTAGCTGCTTCTGTGCTCAATTCACAATGAGTTAAATTATCACATTATAATATATACAGTGAAAATCATTTATTTCATTTATTTTACATTGTTATTCATATTTTCAAGAACTGCATTGATTGCTGAGCTTTTAATTATGAATATATTTGTAATATTAAACATTGTCATTTGACAGCTGCTGCTGCAGTTTCTGCAGTAGATGAGTTTACTGATTATATATATATGAATTTACTGAATCAACTGACTTTCAATGATCTCAACATTTAAATCAATTCAATTATTTTTAAATCAATTGTTAATTTTTTAATCATTCACAGTTGTTAATCTGCTCTCTGCAGCTTTTATTTCTACATTTATTGCTGTCAATCATTCAATTTTAATTGAATGAATATTTACTGCTCTGTCTGCAGAGTTAAATATTGAATTGATGAATATGTATATGAGTTGTTAAAAACTCTTTCAATGTTTTTCATATATTGTGTAAGAGATGCTGTGAGATTGTCATCTGTTAGAGAATCTTCACCAGAATTATATGAATTGTTTAATGATAATACATCTGATATGAAATATTTTTATAAATATATTCAGAACTACAACTCTGCTCTAATATTTACATTTTTTAAATACAAACAGAATTCACATTTTGATTGTTTAATTATTAATAATTTAATATTATTTCAAATACAAAGAGAACTTTATCATTTGTAAAGATTGTTAGAATTTGAGTCAGATGAAAATGTCTGTTTTACACAAATATGAATTTACAACTCACAGTTTGATGCAGATATTGTAAATAATGTGAATTTTATCATACATTCTAATATATTTAATCATATCTGTATTGTATTGTTTATTGTTTGTTCATTTGCTTTTCTATATTTTTTTATTATATTATTGACTACTAATATTTCTATGATTAACTCTTTTATTTAGTTTTATTAATTTGCATAAGAGATATTATAAAACAGCTTTGCTGTATATGTTGATTTAAACTCTATTATATAATTGAAGACAGACAGTGATCACTGCTGTGAGAATTTGTTTATTATCTTAGAGATTATAATTATTATACAAAAACATTTTCAGCAACACTCATCATTTCTATATCATTTTTCTAACATTACAACAACTCAATACTAGTTTGAATTTCATATGTATTAACTCTCACAATTCATTATATTTTTCACTGCATTACATTTTACTTTTTTTTTTTTTTGAGGATCACAGTTGATATATTGATATGAATGTGTTTGCAAACCTTTCATCTGTCTGCAACAGCTCTGATGATGATGTTGATAATGTTGTTAAAAATGAAGATGAATGTGACAATTATAATCTAACTCTATGTATATGATATAGATATCATCTTTTTCAATAAAATGGTGTTGATGTTTCTCTTTTTCAGATTGAATGTTTGTTTCAGCAGTATTTAATTGATATCTATATCAACATTGATAAACAATAATTGAATTGAATTTATATTCATCAATTAAAAATCTATGCTGATCAATATGATGATCTATGTGATGTTATACAGACAGATGATTGTAAGAGATAGGCTACAAGAGTAATTACAAAAGTAGTGTGAAGTACGCACAAAGGATATTGAGAAGGTAGCAATCTCTATTGTTCAAAGCTAATCGCTGATCTCCTAAAAACCACGGATATCAGCGAGCATTATATAGATAATATTGCCATCGCCACGTATCTATCGCCACGTATCTATTTCCTAATATAGATATCTCCGTTGCGCCTATTACAATGATATGAATTGTGAGCAGCTTGATTATTATATGATATTATTTACTTCTCATATAAACAGTGAATGTTTTATGCATAAACTGTTTTACAATTCCTTAGCAATTATCTTCAATTATAAACACTCAACTCTTTTCATTACATTTACAGTTAATTTTGAATGAAAGAAGATTATTCATGAAAGAAGATTATTCATAAATTACTTTTTAATCAAACTGCAGCAGATTGCTCAGATTTGATTGTATATATTTTTATAATGAAAGTTTTTCATTTTTTTGATGTTTTCAAATCTGAGCAGCTGTTTGAATTGATGTTGATCAGAGTATGAATAATTAAATATCAAAAATATAAACGGCTTCATAGCATCTGTTGATCTGATTAGAGAACTCTGAGTAATTTTTGCAGTTTGAAATAATTAATGAGATTATATCTGCAGAGTTGTCAAGCATTGCTGAGAATACAAGCAGATTGAATGAATTGATCTGTAAATTCATGATTCATGATTCATATAATACTGGCGTGGCGAGCCTCTGCCACAAGAATGGCAGATGTATGAAACATTTTCTCAAGACTTTTCAGAGTGCTACAGCTGTTGAAGAGGATGGCTATTCTCTGTACAGACAGCAACATGATCCATGTGATTGTTTTTTATTGACAGCTGTAGATTACATGGAATTCACCTATACAAGTCACGTGCAGCCGTTGGATATCTCATTACGTTCACCCGAGGGATTAAACGGCGCGTTTTCAAGCTGGATAAGCGAGCGCAAGCGAGCGATTGCGGCTTGTTGTAATTATCTGGCGGGTCAAACAGCAATTCAAGGAGGGATGGCCTGATAGGGGTACGTCCATTAATTTTTCTTAAATCGGTGATTGTGTGTGAGCCTATTTCTCCCAATTTCCCCAGCTGACAGCGTGGCACAAGGATGATCAAGTGTTGTGCTATTTCATCGAAGCAGCAAGCAAGCAACCGATCAAACAGGAAGGAAGAAATTCAGTTCTTGACAAGACTGAGGTGAGTTACGGGAGGGTTTAGTTTGAGCCGTATCCTGATTTCTGGACGCCGAGGCATGTTGTGCGGGGCTCCAAGCATTGTTGAAAGCTATACGATTTTCGAATATGACGAGCGTTTCAAGTTTTGGGCTCACAAACGAAAATTGTATATATCCACTGGCGAATATCATCAAGGTTGATAGAAAACGAGCGGAATCCATGCGTGAAAGTTCACGCTTTGATAACTAACCATCTATACGACGAACTAAGGACTAAGGGTTGCCAATATTACGAGAAATTTGGCAGGCAACAGTCTTTTATCATTTTCCGTGCATCCAAAAAAGTATCTCTGAGGTTAGTTCTGGGCTAACTCGCTTAGCAGTTGCCGAAGGAATGATGTCGATTTTGTGGATAGTTCGATATGGAAATTGATGTACTCCCTACGGAGTAGAGTCTACATCATTCCAACTTGCTGCGATGGCACCAATTCTTGAAGTTGGAGGCTGCTAACAGGTCACCTTATCCGATTATTGCATTGTCGTGAAGCGAGAAACTACCTCATATTTCTTAAAAGCAGCACGAGGGAGACTACAGGGACTCAATTTCTCTGTTTGCGGGACAGATTTCGTCCCAAAGATTGCTGAAAATGGGAAGTTTCCGTCGTCAGAGAGAGCTTGAGAAGCATTTTCGTTATTCTCAAGGTTTTCTAGATCATGAATAGGGTGTTATTCCTCAGGAGCATGACGTCGTTTTCCTGTGGATTCTTCATCCTGTGTGTTCCTGAGGCTGTGATGTAGGGGATACATAGAAACAAATACGAGCTCTATATCCCCACTTACACCCACTAAACTCAATCCCTTGAGATAGTTCCGATAGGTATTTCTTAGAACACTCAAGTCCGCAACATGACGTTTCTTTCAGGCAGAACAATTTTAAGGAAGCACTACCTCGATAGTGGGGAAGGGAAAGTCGATGCGGACTGCGGTGATATAACCAGCACTCAATCTCCTTCTTCAACACATTGAACCAGCTCTCCTGCACTGAAAAAATATAACCATATAATTGCGTCCACATATTGACATCTTCCGAAATCAAATGGAGTCCCCAAAACTTGTCACTGTTTTTGGTGCTACAGGTAGACTTTGATCTTTTGCCCTCTTTCGCTCTCTTTTTTGGAATCGAGATCCGGACAATTCTAATCTTGTTTCCCATAGGCAACCAAGGCGGCTCTGTTGTCCGATCGCTTCTTCGCAATAGTGCGGTATTCCGTGTCCGAGGAATCACTCGTAACCCAACCTCCCCTAAGGCCAAGGAATTGGTTAGGGCTGGAGTTGAGGTTGTTGGCGCAGATGGATTTAAGAAGGAGGAACTAGTGAAAGCATTCAAAGATAGCTGGGCAATATTCGTTAATACGAATTCTGACGATTCGGTGAGAGCTGCGCGGAATCCAATGATCCATTCAAATTGAGGGTATGGTAACAATTAAACCACCAGGCTTTTGATGATCCAAACGGTCCTACGGAATTGGACCTTGGTCGCGTCATTGTTGATGCTGCAAACGAAGTTGGCGTGGAACATTTCGTGTACAGCTCCGCAGGCCATATCTATGAAATCACTAAAGGGGCTGTCAAATTGGATATGATGGACTGTTAGTGTCAATTTTCCGTGTCCCAATTTTGTTCGATATTGTCACTTACTAACCATCCGTATAGGCAAAAATAAAATCGAACAGCTTGCTCGAAATAGCCCCAATATCAAAAGTGTAACAGCTGTGTGCGCGGGCTGGTACTTCGAAAACTTTATGTCCCCGTTCATTGCAGAGGTCTTCGGCGGATTCGCCCTTGAGACGGACTCTGAAGGTTATGTCACTCTCTCGCAGCCTTTGGTTGGCGGCCCGGGCTTGGTCCCATTTATTTCAATCGAGGAAGACTTCGGAGATCTTGTCCATGGTGTTCTGTTGGACCCAGAAACCTGGGGCGGAAAAACCATCCAAGGAATTAGTCACTTAGCCACCTTTCCCGAGATCACTGAGTCTTTCACCAAAGGTATGGTTCTGTCCGTGATACGAAAACATGTTGTACAGTACATATATGCTAACCAGAACCTCCTGATTTCGGGGTTGCTTAGTTACGGGCAAAAAATCCCGCTACGTTCCCATAGAAACCGAACAATTCCCTACCATGGGCGGCATTAGGGCACTCGAAAGTATTAGGGACATGTATGTATTTACACAATGGGCTGGTGGTCGATATTTCGCGAATATGGAGTTTGATGTTGAGCAGGCAAAGGCCCTTAAAAAATCAGTTCAAGCCGTGGTTGCTGCAGGAGATCCTAAGCCATTAATGAGCTCCGAACAATTTTTTGCCAAGATGTTCAGCGGAAACAAACCTGAGTAAATGATATCAGTCTGTTATTAGTTTGTTGCGAAGACAGCATAAATCCGAGGATTTGGATTGCAGTGCATTTTGGACTTGCTTTCTTGTCAGATTTCAACATAGTCTCCGCTGTTTCGACGAGAGGTCGAACACCATCCTACCCAGGAACTTGTCGCAAATGTTAGCAAACTGTAAGCTAGGAATTCTGGAAGGTGTAATATCTCCGAGAAATGTTGTTAGAAGGGGAATAGAATCGATACCGTAGGGATCTGTTCCACCTATTTAATTGATCCTTTGAGTTCTAAATTTATTCTGGAAACTCTGTATTAATATCGCTGTCATTTCCACTACCGAGTATCGGATACAACGCGCAATGAAAGCTCCTGCAACGCTATGATGCTGTTCAATACTAGGGTTGGTTAACCGTGTGAGGGCTGCCTTTTGGGATCCTTAAGCGTATTTTGGCGCCACTTTCAAGAGAGACACAGAAGGCTTTCCTCCATCCCACTAGCTAGCAATAATATTTATCCAAGGGGCTAATAATTAGAACTCAGGGAAGGCCGAAACGAAGCACGCCCTGTGAGGATTAGCTCAGGGATACCTTTGCACACTCCTAGCAGTAGCAGCATATCTCAATCCCTCCATTAGGAGGAAATATAGCCTTGGGCGAATTGGCTTTATTGACTGGTTACTTTGTTGAAATCATGTCCATGAGGTTGAAAGGCCACTCAGCTAGCCGCGAGCGCTGAGCAGGGGGCCAGGGCGGAAAGGCGCTTTAAGCGCCACCTACCACTTGATATTGACTTTTCAATGAAGTAGTTTTCGCAACGGCAAATCAAGTGTGTTGTCTATCCTAGTAGCGCACTCGCACTCACGGAGAAGGGATCTAACGGAAATTTCTCCTTATTTGTCATCCTTGTGTTTAGAGCAACCCAGCACGGTCATTCCGCCAATGACGTATATCTTCAAGGGGAGCAAACTCCTTTCTAAAATGAAAGTAGCATTGCGGTACATCATCCTTCTACTCGGCGTGCCGAATCAAGGAAAAATGGCGACACGGATTTCGTGTCCGTGCGATGGCGCCTCCTGAACCGTGACACTGGGCTGTTTATGAGATTCGGCGATGCGTAGTCCATCCGTGCTTCCACTCTTCCTCTGCGACACCTGTCGTCGGACAACTGGGTTACTATGCACCTCCTCCTATGTCCCTCTGAAACAAAGCACGCAATCATCGCCTGATATCAACGGGTTTGTCTTATCGAATATGCTCGGCCTATGGCTTCGAGCTGCTGGTTCTGTGGAACGTGTGGTGCAAATTCCTTTCTCTAGCTCAAGGAAACTGGAGGGTACGAGCGAAAATTCATAGCAGCGAGAGGAAATATAGAAAACAGCGAACCTCAGACGGAATTCATAACGCATCTGTATTTAGCCAGCGCGGTCGACAGATACAGCTTCGGTCTGCCAGTGCCAGACGCAACAGTTCTTTGGAGAGGAACAGAACGCTACACATGTTCCACATGAGCTACCCGCACTATTTTCCAGCAATCGCTGCTAACCGGATGTGACACCATATATCAAACGATGATCCGCAGGAGTGCTCAATCCCTACGTCCTCCTCGGCCAAGTCTTGGTGGCAAGTTACGAGGGCAAAGGCGTCAAGTTTTTCATAACCGCCCTGGATCAACAACATCCCACCTTGCCACTTCCTCTTGGTCTGACATTTTTGGTTCCCGACCATTCCTTCACCTCGCCCTCAACAGCAGCAGTAGCAGCTGCTCCCAATGGCGTAAAGTGATGGCTGTGCAACAGCGGGACAAAATCTCCTACTGCCCTTTGTGTCTGCAACTCCTGCTGGCGGGTATCTGGCTTCCCGATTCGCAGCTGGGCATACATTTCACGGCCAGCTATCTTCAAAACATTGAACGGCTCGAACTTTAACCTACGATGACTTGGGAACTCTGAAACGATATCAAAACTCTCCTAGCGTCTATGTCTATAGAAATTTTTGTGGGGTTTGCGGCGCTACTATTTTCCGGCAGATTGATGTGAGGTCGAGTATGAGTGTCGGGTTGTTGAGGCGGAGACTGACGCACGGGCCGCATTGGGAGCTGGGACGGATTAGCTTCTAGGAAGTATGTAGTGAGATACTTGAAATGACTTTAAGCAGACGGGGTCTGGAAGATGGATGTGATGCGAAGGCAGAAAATCACCAGATATATTGAAGAGGTTTTTAGATGTCCTTGTATGACGCATCATTGTCATGTTTGAGGTTCTCTTATGATTGTTGCTTGGAGAATAAAGTTTATTGCTCTTACATGGGCCAACCAGCAGCGACAGATTTCATCACGTAAGTTGACTCTTCTCAATTATTATTGTATATATGCTCATGTCCGTTACACCCACACTCACACAAAGAACCAAGTTTCAAAAAGGAAAAAAAAAAAAAAAAAAAGCGGCCCAGTGGAGATGTAGATAACGACAGCCAGAAAAGAAAAACAAATCACGCGTCGAAAGGAGCCCAACTCATAAGCATGGAAGGACATTCGCCAGGAGAGGAATGCACTAATCCTGTAAAACACAAGTCCCGATGCATTCCACGAGTCGGAACAGTTTCCTCTTATTTTATCCCGAATTCGAAAGATCCAGAATGTGAGTTCATTATCATCGCCTCAGGCAGGCAGAATCTCCTATTGGCGGGCGCCGACATATACTGTAATCTGCTCACACGCTATGCAAGTAAGGCCATGGGGTGTGGGAGCTAGAGATAGCATTAGGCTAGACTTGTTTATTGTTTGATCCTTTCTACTATTGAGTCAACTGTTCTTCTTCGGACAAAGGTATGTGGTGACTAGGTTAATTTTATGGACCAACAAAAAAGTTTACTAGCGGATTTGCCCCGCGTTGTCTGAGTCTATTTCTCCCCCTCCGTGCATATAAATAAAGCCCTGGATCCAGTTGTTTCGGGGCATTTTCTTTTCCTCCAGCGAACCCCAAGAAAACCTTTTTACGATCATCTACCTAATACTATACCAAATATCAACCAGAGCTCTATCAATTATCCCGCATTAATTTCATCATGGGTATGCGAATCCCCGCTTGTCATTTTGCTCGCTCTCTGCCTAGTAGAGCTTTTGCATCATCTCTCATATATTCAACACCGTACTGACATGGCTGCGCTGAAAAATAGGTGAATGTGGCTGCGCTTGTGGCTCTTCCTGCCAGTGTCCCTCTGGGCAATGCAGTTGCGTAAGTGATACTCTCCAGTGGGAGTACTGTTATGATGTGCGGGCGTTTTATCTGACGATTAAACCTTAGAAATAAACATGCCCTTGTAATGCCCAGCCAGGCATATCTTCCTCCTTCGTTCGATTCCAGATTCCCTGATTGATCGAGGGAGCAGGTTGTTATTATTCGACTCTCAAATGACGTGGCAAGTGGCGTTTTCCTGTTACCAGGCCTCTGTGAAGATTATACGTCAATAATCGTCATTTATTTTTCTGCTATGGAAGGGGGTGATTAGTATCTGCGGACAACATGGCTGGTGTTTTTATAGGGAGGCTATTTACCGTAGTTCCGTAAAGAAGAGACTCACTTGAAACTTCTATTTGTTATTCTGTATGCGTTATAAATAAGTCTGCCCGCTTGCAAATTTTGTGGTGCTGAGGCCCTCACCTTGCTCACCCACTCCCGCCTCTTTTTAAACATCAAGGGAACCTTCAGATCACTGTCCACTCGTTAAGGCTGAAGATGGAATGATACCTGGTATTAGATTTAATCCTTGTTCTACCAGCTGTTCAAGCTTCTGTTTTAAGTTCTCAACGTTTCTAGGCGTTCATTTTTCGCTAGTAGACGTTTGAATCAAGTATCTACTTCCACAAGAGTGTCAACAAAGGTCTCCTTGGTTTTAGCCAGCAACTGATGTTCGGACGGCCGCGTCATTTTGGAAAGCCCTATTTGTACCTCCATGTTCATGCATCTTCTTGTAGGATGAAGCTTTTAATAAAAAACGTTGTTTCCCCCATCACATCCATGATCCCTCTACATTCCTTCGATTACACTGCGTAAATGTTCGTTGGCGTGGGAGCGTGAATCGGTGACTTGATTGTGGGGCCAGCTCCAGCGCGGTCCGAATAATAGTGCCAAATATATACTTGTAAAGTGATTCCGTCAAGAACAAATCCCGCGAGTTAGTTGCTGTCCGGGATGAGTACAGAACCGAAACAACTCTATAATTCGGTCACAAACCTTCAATTATCCACTCTATACGGTAGATTGGGGAAGCGGTGAGCTTGTGTCGAGCAAGATGATCCGTGAAAACATGAGATTTCTGGGCTAGATTGGATGGATGGCAATGCACGTCCCCCGTCAAGCTTCGCACGTATTTCGAAGCTCAATCTCATGATAATGGATTCTCTTTCAGATAAAGAGCCTCAGGAACGGAGCCGTGCCTGCCATTTAGTGTTGGACATGCCCTGTCTCCATGAGCCTCTCTTACTAGAGGAGGCAAAGGATTGAATCCCTCCAGTAGTGTTAGAATTAAACGAACCGATACATTGTGAAAATGAATACCTGGATCTAGATCTGTTTCTGGGCATATAAAGAGGGTGGAAGAACGTCGTTTCTGCGAAAACGTCCTCGATTCAAAGCACTCAACCCTTGAAAATATCTCCCTGCTAGACTTACATACCTGAACCCCTTTTGAATCAGTTACACTTTCTTTTATTTAACATGAGCGCCGCGTATTTTCGAACGCAAATCCTGGGTGAGTTCATGGCACCCTTCAGAGGACGTGTATCGAATGCTAACAATTAATCGTAAAACAAACGCCAAATTTCTCTATGGCCCGAGAAGCAATTTGAGATCGTAACTGGACTTGTGTTCCCGGTAATGTATGGAAACATTAAAGCAAGCAACGCGATTCTTGTAGAGATGGACGCGGAGGCTGGAGGTTTCCGAACGCTCCTTGTCGGTGACCCTAAGGAGCTTCTCAATGACTCTATGGCGGAGCTGCATAGTGAAATCACGAAGATCTATGAGAAGCTATCTGCGGGTTTGGATGAAAATGCTACCATAGAGGCCGGAGAAAAGGTTATTGAAGGGGTATTAGAAAAGCGAAACATAATGCATATTCTACCTAAATGCAATATGAACCTCGAGATAGTTTTTATTGTCATGCGTAATTCGCAAAACAGGGACAGTAGTCTTCAACATGATAATAAGAAGGATAATTTTGGAGTACTTTACGCCAACGATTCTTGACATTCGCATGACATAAATTCCAGATCTGTTAGCCAAGCAAAATGCAATATTTCAGGAGGACATTGCCATGGCAATTTGTTTCCTGGCCCACCAAATTTTCGGGAAACTCCCTTCCATCAAGCCATGAGAGAGTCCTTCAAACGGCATTCAGGGCCGTAGGCGATTCTTTACAACGAATCACCTACCAACAGCCAGAGAATCGAATCAGGACAAAGAAGTGGACTCAAATGCGCCACGTATGCAATAGGGTATTTGAGTGGATAACGAACGATGGGAGGCTCATAGATCCCCCATCACATCATCAGAAATATAGAGAATTCCCCGGAAAAATTAATGCAAGAGGGTTTCTGTTACGCGTTACGCGTCCTTAATACATGTTTGCGCGTACTTCCCATCATGCCTGCGTAGTCCTCGGAACGCCCACTTTTCCCTCTTTTATATTCTCATTCTCCCCATCCTAGCTAGCTAACTCTTAGAATGCAACTTAATAGTTCGATACCTTCACAATCTACCGGCCACAGATTGCGAAGACAAGGGCCTTTTCAGAGCGTGCAAGTTGCGTTTGTTTCTAGTTTCAAGTTTTCCACTGCGGTCAACAACAAGCAGTGTTTGTAAGGCCACTGTGCAAAAGAGCTCAATTACCACCAGCGCCATGCTGGTAGTAGAGGGGACGAATCAATCCAAATCCCCAATAGTCTTGACCTCCTTGAGGGAAACACTGATTACATAAGAATCCCTCTCAAATGAAATTTTTGATAGACATCATTGGACACAAAACAACATCCTCACCCAGCAGGTATCAGCTAGGCCTTCCACACGCAGCCGTGAATGGTCGGGAAAAAAGAGAGCTGGTTATCTTTGTTTTGCCTTAACAGACCCTGACATCTCAACCAATATTTCCAGTTGTTTCTTTTTTTCAAAAGACAAATTTCCGACGGCCTGATCCACCTCCTTGGCAAGCCCAATCAGCAATATGGAGATAGAGGCCCAAACATGAATCACATGGACCACCTGTGAAGTATTGTATTTGTGGAAAACGCGCTTGATTGTTCTGGCTCAGCTTTGTTAACACGCAGTGGGGGTTGACATGGCTAATTGCCATGCCACCCTGCCGGAAGTCTGTTGAACATGGAGAATCGTCACAGTCCAACCGGAGGGCGCTAACCAAGCAGATTCTTGTGAAGGCCAATGAACATGTTTTGGTGTCTGGTTCGTCCTCTGATTGCCATGAAATAGGACGTAAAAGTATCTGTAACCTCGCCAACGAAAGGCTTAAGCTTTTCAAGTTGATCGTCCGTAAACGCAGATCGTCCAAATCCCACAGAATAATCAGGTTGTGGACGAGGCCCATAAAAAGATAGCGCTATCCCAGCCTTCATTGACACTTTCATGCTGTAGGTCGCCGTATCGAGGACAGTGCACAATCTCTCAAAAATGGAGTTGGAAGCTAGCTGGGGTGGCATGGGGAATCGTACAAAGCTCTTTCAACAAAATGTGCGAAATGAGAAATGAAACTTTGTGCGGCAGCTGGCAATTGAAACTCCACATATCAGCTTTTTCGGTTTTAGGTTTTGATCCTCTCTTCCTGGAGACACGCAATTTGACCATCTCCTCTCCAATGGCTGCAGGAGGTAGCTGGGAGCCTTGCATCATGGTTCAAGGGTCACACAACCGTTTTCCACATTGCCCATGCTAACTCTGTTTCTCACATCTTGAATTTCTGATACAAAATGCATGACAAGGACTTGTCCTTCCACAATCTGCATCAAAATCCCTCTTTGTCCAGTCAACGCCTTGTCGGATCCGCACACGTGCTATCAGAAGACGAACCATGGAACTGCGGGGGAGGGTCCGTGATGGGGGAGAAAGAACATAAATAGGGCTTCATGTCCCCCTCTCCTCATGAGATTCTCTCTCCCATTTTCAAGGATAGCTCGTTGACCATCATACATCCAAACGCAACTTAAATATCTTGACCGAATTTTCAAGCAAACTCACCACCCAAACCCACTCATCCAAAAATGTCTCCCTGCAACTGCAACTGCTGCTCTGGTGACTGCAACTCCTGCGGCTGCGGCAGCTGCAGTGTAAGTTAATATAAACAGAATCTACGTTTGTGTATACTCACCTGACTTTTACAACAGCACTAAGCAGCTCCCGATGAGCTAAATTCTCTCTCTTCCACCTTTCTCCTGCCTTATATAACGTCTTTCCCCGCCGCTGAGAAGGTCCCTTAACGTATTCGAAGTCTGTTTGATCGATACGTCCATTCAAACCCCTCATACCTTAGGACGAGACTGGCGTTATATTTCCTAACGTTTCCCCCCACGTCTACCCTAACTTGGATTCGTTATCAAGCGAGTTGGAAGAAAAAAAAAAATTCAAACCACGGAGGAAAGAGAATCAATTGCCTCATGCTCTCGGAACCAGCATGTCCTGTTTTCTTTTATGTTTTCACTTCGACATTGGTTGTTGTGTATCTTGAGCTTGCCTGGCCCTTTTTTCTAAAAGGGGCCAGCAAATTCTGAAGAGCAAGTAAGGGAGTGTGCCTGTGAGCTGGTGTGCATGCGTCTGGGCTGTGTTGGGTGTTGAGATGTAGCGAATATTCAAAGACATACTTTCATTAAAGCAATGACATCTCCACCATTATTCAGAATACAACCTTAATCCCCATTCCGTACTAGGAAACGTATATGCAAATCAGCCGATTTTAGAATACCATGAGGTCACAAATGCCTTCCTCGAATGTGATGCAGCCCTATGTCGTACCTCCATGTCATACATGTCATGTTCTCTTCCGTTCTCGCATCGGATAATAGATATGGACATCTTCCCACTGGTGCCGGGGTCCAAGCACTTGGACGCCTCTTTCACCAACCAAAGGGACAACGGAAGGACGGTTGGTCAGTTGACCCCGCATTGTTAACTTTGAGAATTTTCTTTCTTTCTTTCTTTTTTTTTTTTTTTTTTTTTTTTTTTTTTTTTTTTTTAATATCATTTTTTCCATATAACCCCTAGTTAGTAGATCACAATGTGGATCTTGGCCGATCAAGACGGAAAGTCGCGAGAAGACATCAGTCAAATTGAGAATTTCTACTAAAGTGATTGTAGGAGAGATCAATGTTTTGAAGGTTTGAGCATATAGGAGTTTTTCTTTTTCTTTTTCTTTTCTTTTCTTTCCGAGGAAGGTTTGAAATTGGTAATGGCTCTTTTTCATGTTACTGCATTATGGCGGGCTAGCTTGTGTATTAGTTGTGGATTCTCTACCGTCATTTTGATGTAGTGTACAAGGTATCCGCACGAGCATTCAAGTCAGGAGCAGCGAAGCATGTGTAAATAGAGTGATGACACAGCAAAGATAAGAGCGACGAGAAACCAGCATAAAATGACACTACCAGGCTGCACAGGGAAATAAATAATCTTACTGTGAAGGAATTCAAGTCTGCTAGAAAAAAAGAAGAATAAAGAATAAAGGTGGAAGTAAGCACGTAAGCCCGTCTAGTTTGCAACAATCCTGTGTAACTAACCAAATATTATCAAATTATTCTGCGGTTCGTTTGTTCCCTCACAGCTCGTCTTTGAGACCATCACGGGCGGCATTGCCGTCCTTGGAAACTTCTTCACAGGCAGCCGGGGTCGTCACAAACATACTATACACGCATTTTTCGTCTTCCGTAACCTTCAAGATCTCATTCTGCTCCCCACATTCCAAAACAATCTTGGTTGAACGTGCGGGGCCATTCCAGCATGTTTGTCCGTTGGTGTATTCCAGTGCTATCTTCTTTTGAGGGACGACCTTCCCATTTGAGTCCTGCTCATCCGCAGTAATTGTAGTAAACGCAGAAAAGGTGCCCATTGTTGTGGTGGATCCGCCTTTCTTGGGTATTTGTTTCGTTTTCTCCATCCAACAGAGTTCATAGGTATATTCACCAGAGTCCTTAGATATGCACGAGCCCTTCAGCGAGCGAAATACGGAATCACTTCCATAGTCTTTGCGAAGGTCTAATTTTCGATCCTCCAACTCAGAGCGAATTCTACTCAAAGATGATTCTTCAGTTGAAAGTGCATTCCGAGCTTCCGTCACTGCTCTGGACTCTGTGGTGCCTAAGTCGCCGCTGTTATCCGCAAGGATGCCATTTGATATTAAAAACGAGCGGAGTTGGAGAACTTTATCTTCGAAGTAGTTAATCAATGAATCGGGGAGGTAGGCGGCGACTTTGTAAACTGTGGAATGTGTGTGTTAGCATCTTCCAGCAGCAATATGGCTAACAAATAATTTTGAATAAGAAGATAAAATCAACTTACGAAGACCGATGTCAGATTCTACATCTTGTTCATTTTCCCAATGATCCCAGTCAATGCCTGAATTTTCACTGTCAGGTTTGCAAATTTCATCCAAATCTCGATTTAGCGTTTCATCGTCATCGCTATCTGTATCGCCACGAGCAGCATAATCTTCCCAGGCCCGGACAGCACGCTTTACGCCTTCGTCGTTGAAATTTGGGTTGTATTCCTCCTTGAATTTTGATAGAATGGCCTCGAGTTGACTAACTCTCACCAAATTCTCATCCCTTTCCCGGCGCACCTGCACCAATGCCCCTCGCAACTCTTCGACCCTCTCCTTGGCTAGTCCAGCAAGAACATTAACTTTGCCCTTATTTTGGCTCTTCACCACTTTGCCCCTTTCGTTGGCCCGGACTGTTTCGAGAGCTTGTTCTAGGTTCTGCACCTTCAATTCTGAGGCCGCAACTTCCACTTCAAGATCCGAGATGCGGTCTTCCACCTCCTTTCGTAGTTTAGCCGCAGCTTTCACAAGCTCTGCCCTCTTCTTCACAGCCGCGGTCAGGGATTTATGCCTCTTTTCTTCATTCTTTCGCCATTCTTTTCCAATCTCCTTGCACCTATTCTCACATTTTAAGCCACCAACCCGGGCCCATTCATCGCTACCGTCGCAGCACATCTCATAGTCGCAAACGCCATCATTGACTCGCTGGAACGATATGACTAATGGTCTATGACCTTTATTAACACAGTAGAATCCGGGGAGAACCGGAGTACGGTTAACCTTATCATCCTTAAAGTCAGAAGGAGAAAACTGCGATACATAGGCGCATGCCGAGGTGCCCGGTTCGTCGCTGCCATCAGGACAGTCGCAGTAATCATCGTTCACTGCGGAGAATGGAATTTGAATGGAGGGATTAGAAATGCAGGTGAAAGTGGAAGAGTCTTTGTAATATTTACTAACTAATGTCCAGGGTGATATCGATTTAATGTCAGCTAGCTAGTTGCAAAATAGACCATTGCGAAGAACCAAGGAAGCAGTTTGTCAAGAGAAATGGGCTTTAAAATCAGCATTTTCGTATACACTTACACTCCGGACCTACACCCCGAGGACGCACAGAGGCATCACTTCCCACCACACCAATGGAAGAACATATGGTTGCACCCAAAGCAACGAAAATGCTAGAATGTTTCATGATGGAGGCATTGGGTCTACTGTGAAGCCTGCCTGCCACTTTCTCATTCTCTAGCCTTGGGTTTGGGAGCTGGATCAACGTTGGCCTATCACATTGGCCGCTGAGTAATCAAATTTCTCGGAACTTAAAAACTATTAGCCGGTCTAACTATCAATCACCACTTTTGCCGTCCATCATCAACTGAACACTCCATTGAAACTGCCACTGCTTCGTTGCTAATACAGAATAATACCAAATTAAAAACATGGGTAATGATGGCGGAAGGTAAGTCTATCCGTGGGCCGTGATGGAACGGCGTATTCTAACTCACATATAGTATTCCAAGGCGATGCGAACTTGTGAAGTCGGCAACACGCAATCCCACGACTACCGAGCTTAAAGAAACCCTACGCGAACACTTAGAGCATTACTGGTCGACTTGCCCTCTCTCGCATAAGCAACTGCTTGCGCCTATTGTATCTGATTCCAGCGGAACTCTCTATAACAAGGACGCGATACTAAAGTTTCTCCTGCCGGCAGATGACGCGGAAGATATCAGCTCGAAAGCCGACTACGAAGAGATATTAAAAGGAAGAGTCAAAGGACTTCGCGATATTGTGGAAGTAAAGTTCGAGATCGATGATGATGGGGACGGTAAGAAGCGCAGGGTCTGTCCTATCACTCGTAAAGAGCTGGGTCCAAACGTGAAGTCGGTCTACCTAGTTCCCTGTGGCCATGCGTTCTCAGAAGAAGCGATCCGAGAAATGAAATCCGACAAATGCTTACAGGTTGGTATTTCTGTCAGCTTTCGTTTTTGTGATATGTTGTGTGGTTCTTGATCACTGACCTATGAAACGTTATAGTGTAACGAGGGGTACCTTCTCCAAAACGTTATTCCCATTCTCCCGTCGCAGGACGCTGAAAAGAAGCGCTTGATATCTCGTATGCAAGATTTGAATAGCCAGGGCTTGACACACTCGCTTAAGAAGGCTCCTGGCTCCAACAAGAAACGAAAGAAAAATGGGAGTAGCGCTGAATCCATTGCTTCTACAACTACCGGTTCTGAACCAGTTTCTGCTCAAGATACCGGAACAGCTGCCCCAAAACATCAAGATGCACCCAAAAGTGGACCTGATAGTGTGACATCCACTCCAGCGCCTTCAGGAATTAAAAATGCTGCAACAGCGCGACTGACAGCTCGCGTGCTTGAGGAGGAGAGGGAACGCAATAAACGACGGAAAATGATAGGCAACAACGAAACAATACGAAGTCTCTTCTCGTCCGATTCAGCGAGAGAGCGAAGCAAGGACTCTGATTTCATGACCAGAGGCTATTCAATACCAACGTCGGCGAAAAGATGAGACTTGAAACGTTTGGTAGCTCCATCATGGATTCCTCCCCGTTCACAAATATGCTATACCCTGCACTAGCAGCTTCTCTAGGGTTCTCGCCAGTGAACCCACCTGTCGTTATATTTAGGCTGAGGTTTTCGGAGAGTTCCTTGTCCTAAACTACCTTGAATATGTTGGATACAAAGGCTTGCGAAACTCATGCCATCCCTGGTTGATAATCTGTAGCAAGCCCACCATTTGCCCATAAGGCTTTTATGTGCTTCTATCCATCATATCCACACATTGCAAGGAATTGGCGACACGGGTATGCGGATATGGCTGTGACCAGGTTAGGATAGATGTCCTATATGTGTGTGAGGTCGATGTTAGATGCCGCCAGTCTTCTGGTGATGACTTGAAGGTAACTTCTGAGGGCTGGTTGAATAGTTACTCTTGCCAGTTGCAAAGTTGGAACTGGCCAAAATACATTCTCCTTCCGCGTCTCCCTGACGGCCATGTTTGTGACCTTTTTTTTTTTTTTTTTTTTTTTTTTTTCAGGTTGTCGTTAACTTTAGACGCGGTTTGTAAGGGGTAGAACCCATGTTGTGGATAAGAAGACGTTATTGGGGATTTTATTTTACGTCGGAAGGAAACTGTGTATTTTTCGTATACTTTATCGGAATAGGGGCCCCTGGGACCTAGTTATTCGATTTCATATACTTCGGGATTACAATCTTAAATGCGGTGAGAAATTACTCCTGGGACGCAAGATGGCGTTTTCACTCTTGTCATGAACCATACTCATACTCTATCTGTGGTTAAAGCAAGCATGTATATACCTATATTTATACAAAATGATTCACAAAAAAATTGGCCAGAAAAAAAAAAAAAAAAAAAAACACACAAACAAAGTTCCAAACGTAGATAAATAGCCAAATCTAAAAGCAAATAATCTACAACCGCGTGCCATGCGCCATGGGGGAAAGGGGTTACACCATCCTGCCTCCTTTTCGCAGCACAGCACAGCACTGTAAATGCTTCCCCAACCCGCATCCTCACTTTCCTCATGTCCGCACCCGACCAGTAACCGGCAATCCCCGCCTCGTTAACTCTTCCTCGATAAGCTTCCACCGCCCAATCTCCTTCTCCTTGTCGATCGGCGTATATCGCCTATCCATGATCTTAACATTGGGCAGGCTGGTCAGACGTTCATCCTTAAGAAGGTACTCTGCTAGCTTCTTCGGCTTCGGCTTGGACACTTGAGTGAGGAAGCTGAGGAGTCGTGATGGCTTGGTTATTTTGGCGAGTTGCGGATCCGGGATGCGGTAGCCGGTTAATTGGCTGACTCGTTTGAGGTACTATTGTTGTGTGGTTTTGTTAGAGCTAGGTCCTCAGTTTAAGGTGGAGAGGACGAGGAAGGGAAAAAAGGGAGAAGAAGGGGAGAGAGGAAAATCTTTCATGTGAGGCCCAGTGTATGAATTTCATTGGATGGATATGAGTGAGCTTACAGCAAATTTAAATTCCGGGTCTGTAAGAGGGATGCGGAGGAAGTCGAGATTCTTTGGGCGATAAGTTGTTGGCCCATTGGTATCCACCTCGTCCTGTTCGGCGGCAGCAAGCTGTGCTTCCTCCTCGGGCGTAATATCTTGTGTCTCACTAGATTCTGCAACAACGGTGGTTCTTTCGGCTTCTGCCTCGGCGCTACCTTCTATCGGTTCATAAAGTTGAGCAAACCATTCGTAGATAGCAGTCTTCGCTTCCTCACCGTGGAAAGTCAGGGATGGGGTAGTTGAATCGTTTATCTTCACCTCCGCCTGGTTAATAATGGAGAGGAAAGCTTCTTCGTAGCCGAGGATATTGCAACCGTCCGCAAGAGGCTTCTTCATGTCTTTCAAGATGAGCAATTCGACCATGGCTTGATGGAGGATTTGGTAAAATTTGGTGCGGGACGTAGCTTTCTCGAGAGCCATAAATCTGCACGGGCGGGCGGTTAGACTATTATCGGGCTCATGCTTGTGGAAGGGATATTCAGAAGAATTGAGAAAATGTATGGTTCCATGCATATCATTGTACGCAGCCATATAATTAGGAAACCGCTCAAAAAAGATGGTTAAAACGTACGGTTCGAAATAATCCTCAGCTCTAGGAGGATTTTCCCACCATTGCTCCGCACCAACCTGTCTTAAACCTTCCCAGGTATCCGCACTCTTATATTCCCCATGGGCTTTCTCTTCCGCAGTAGCAACGCGCATTCCTTGGTCCTCCTCTCCAATTTCAGATTCGAGGAGAGGGTCCGCCTGCGACAATTCCACTGGTGGTTCGACATGGTCGAGCTGGCTTTCACTTCCGTATGGATCCTTCACTCCCGGAGGCTTGTCCGTTCCCCATATCTTCCTGCGCAGCTTCTCGGTCACGGGCAAGTCGCCGTTATCGTTGCTTTGGCTGCTGTTGGATGGGTGGTACTGGCGGATTTGGAATTGGTTGACGGATCGGAGAGCCTGGGGAAGGCATTGACGCCTACAGGTTGAACAAACGTATAATGCACTAGATATTCGAGCGGGTGCGGTTTCCAATGGAGCTAGCAGACGTGCTGGCAGCGACATTGTTGGCGTTTCGTTGACTTCGTCGTTGAAACGAATTTTTTTTTCCTTTCCATCCACTTTTCGCTAGCAAAAGAAAGAGAACCTTCCAAGGTTACCTAGGTATAGGTTATTGATCACGTGATTATTATCACCGAAGGGATGAGGAAGGATCTGAAAAAATAAGTAGTAAAATAGTCATTTCAATACGGTGATGGGAAAATATATAAGTGAGGTGTGTCGTTTGACGCATTTATGCCCAACCAAGTCTTTGCTGCACAATCCATCCATATCTAACACACAAGGAACGGATTCCAATTCGATTCTGGTATCTCTCAAAAAGGGGTCCAGATGTAAGTCCACCTCGAGTCGACAAATACAGAGAAGAGCATTGAAATAACATAACCCAAAATAGACACAAACATGACAAGCATATCCCAATATTCCAATATCGTCAAAACTCTATTCCCGGACAAACACACTTGCCATTCCCATTCCCGTTCCAATACACATGCTCACAACTCCAACCCGCTCTCCCTGCCTCTCCATCTCCGGGAGTAAAGTTGCAAGTTGCCTCGCACCAGTTGCCCCCAACGGGTGTCCCAAGGCAATTGCCCCACCCTTGGGGTTAACTTTACTTTCATCAATTCCCAGTTTTCGAATACAGTAGATGGCCTGGCTAGCGAACGCCTCGTTGATTTCCCAGATTCCAACGTCGGAGATCGACAGGCCGGTGTGTGATAGAACCTTGGGAATAGCAACGGAAGGGCCAATACCCATCTCATCGGGAGCGCAACCGGCTACTTGCGTGGATACCCATTTTCCGATGATACAGGACGTGAGGCCAAGTTCTGTTGCTGTGGAGCGTCGCATGAGCAACGTGGCAGCCGCACCATCACTGACCTGAGAACTATTTCCAGCAGTGCTTGATCCTGTTGCCGAGAACGCTGGTTTAAGAGTAGCTAGTTTCTCAAGGGAAATCGACGCCCTGACGCCGTCATCTTTAGTGACCGTAATTTCCGTCGCTGGCCCATCAGGCTGACCCTCAGGGAACGTTTTAGTTGTAATGGGTATAATTTCGGCATCGAACAGTCCCTTCTCCTGTGCCGCCGCAGCTTTTTTATGGGACTCTGCAGAAAACAAGTCTTGATCCTTGCGCGTGATACCGTACCGCTCCGCAACGTTCTCAGATGTGATGCCCATCGGCATGATGCAGTCTCTCGCATCCTTGGAGGGCGAGTCGCGCAGTTCCGGCCACAGAACCGTAGGAAGGGCCCGCGAACCATAATTGCGCGTCATGGATTCCATGCCCCCACCAATTCCAACAGATATCGCACCCACGGAGATCGAATGTGAAATGGCGGTGATAGCTGCCAACCCAGAGCTGCACTGCCTGCTGACGGTATGGAAAGGTACCGTAGGTGGGAAGCCGGCATGAATCTGAGCCATTCGCGCGGCCTTCATGCCACCCAACTCTTGTAGAACGCTTCCTATGGCCACATCACCAATTAAGGCCGGGTCTAGCTGCGGGTTCGCCGCGAGTGTCGCGCGCAGAACATGAGATATCAGTTCTTCGGGGTAGGCATCTTTGAATCCGCCTTTGTTAGCCCGAGTGACTGCTGTTCGCAGTGAAGAGAGGATGACTACATCGGACGGAAACTTTTGGAGAATTTGCCGTAGGCCTTTCTGAGCTGCCCCTGACATGGTAGCTGTGGCTATGTGTAACAACTTGCAGTCAAAGGAAAAAAGCGTCTCTCACGCTGGTGTTATGAAGTTTCGGTGGCAGCCTGAAAGAAGAGATAATAATACACAAACCAGTCAGGGGGGCAAAAAAAAAAAAAAAAAAAAAATAGGTCCGCTGACAAAAGAACAGTTCGACACATCCAGCTTTGCAGATCGGGTCCAACTGATTTTCCCACCTGGCTGCCGACAGCGGCTAAACGCTCAATCGAGAGTGGACACTCCCGTGCTCCGGCAAGCTGAGCAGAAATCGTTAATGTTGGTGGTTAATGGACGGGGCGAAACGGCCATTATTCAACGACCCCAACGACTCAATAAGCATGCTCACTCACGCTGGGTTGCCATCTTTCCACCATGCCCTCGTTGGTCATGGTTGGTGTCAACCGCGTCAAGGGCGATGATATCGAACTCAGCGAAATGTTGGCAATGTAGCAACCACGTGAGCTTGGCCAGGGTGACAATAAATTCGCGTTCGGCTCAGATCTCGGCAACCGCTTTGTACTTTCAGCGTCTCCGGCAATCGATCAATACTGGCTTTTGCCGGCATGGAACCTTGTCACATCGAACCCGAGACTGGGCGCCGTGTTTCGTCAATCTTGGCCCATTGTATGTACATGTACGTAGACGAGTTGATAGAATAATGCAATAATCATCCGTTATCTTCTGACTCTCTAGCGGCTCATAGCTTCTGTTAGTTACACGGGACACGAGAGGGCAGAGGTAGGGAGCGCGGTAAGACTCTACATACAGTTTCTTTGTCAGTTTCAGTTTTCAGCTTCTCATCAGCCTTCGGCACAAAGTCTCCTTTATCACCTCAAACTTAATCGCATTCAAAGTATGTAATGCATCTGGACGCTCGGCTACATGTCATGGTAACCTAGCCTATCTGTACTGATTGACTCCGCGGCCATGCTAAATCTGTATTTTCTACCTTTTACTCGCATTCATATGGCCATATTTGCATGCAAGCGAAACTTTCCAGTCTAAATGTTTGTTCATTGGACTGCCTCGGGCGTGGGAACTTTTTCTTTCTTTCCTTCTTTTTTTTTTTTTTTTTTTTTTCAGTCTTACCGAGGCCCCAGGGGTGGCTATGCAGGCGGATCACAAGGCCAGGAAGCATCGTGGACACACATCCATGACTAGTGCGGAACTTCCCATTTTGCCTTAGCTATCATTTATTCTGGGCTGTGACAACTCCATTCTAAATATATCAATCAAGTTGGGGGGAGGGGATGTTTTCTTTCATCATACCCTTGTCAGAGCTGATAGAAACTGTCTATATATAAGATGCAACCGTGCTCTTGAAGAGTTGGCTTATCGATCTCCTTTACATCCATCCTCTTCTCCATCAAATCCTCATATCAACCGTCCACTTCATACCTTTTTTTTTCTTCTCCTTTTTATCTCAACCTGGTTTTTGTCTCTCCAAGTCAAAACCGAACTCACCATACTTACATGTCCATGCAATACGTTGCATACTCGTACACAACCAACCCCTTAAGGACCCGAAAACGAAACACAACAACGCCATAGAGAGAGCTCAGCAACGCGTAAAACGCACTCCTCTATTATAGAAAAAGGAAAAAGGAAAAAGAAAAAGAATCAACAATGTGCTTCTCCTCCTCGGACAGAGAATACAGAACCCCAGCACCCCGCCCGGTCCAGTACTACCCTAGGCCAGGTCAACGCTTCGCGTCAACATATTATTACCCGCCCACCACCAAGAAGCAGAAGATGAAGTGGGGCAGAGGCATCGATGGTGGTTATGATGGGGGTGGTGACGGCGGCGGCGGCGGTGGTGGTGATGGAGGAGGATGTTGAGTTTTTCTTGGTTCGATTAGAGTGGATGCAAAGGGGACAGAGCCGATGGAGTCGATGGAGCCGATCTATCCTTGAAGACGAGGTTTTGTGTATGTGTGTGGGGTCGTTTTGGTTTGGGTTGTAATGATTTGATGATGATGACGATGGGATTTTATGCCATTTGCTACGTGGTTATGGTTATGGTTATGGGATATGAAGCTGTATCATGGCATATGGAATCATGGTATATCGGAGTTGTTTTTTTTTTTTGTTTGTTTGTTTGTTTGTTTGTTTGTTTACTGTTGGCTAGAGCCGTATCCTCCGTCGCAGAAGCTCTGTAGATTATGATCTGGGGAAAGGGGGCCCGCAGTTGATCGCCCACCTAGGGGCTTTGACTCGAAATTTCGTTTGTCCGTTTATCAGAAGGGGGTATATTCTCTTACTTGTCCTTCGTTTCTATTGGCATTTCCCTGTTATTAACATTCTAAATATTATTTATTACTACCAAATACTCTAACCCGGTTTTCTTTAAAGAATTTTAAAATTTTTACAGTCAGGTAGCTGGAGTACATGTAGATGAGAAAACCTATAAATATATATATGTATATATATACCCTTGTCGTTAAGAGTGTTGAAAATAATACCGAATGAAAAGGAGAAAGAATCCTACTAGGTTTGATTCAAGGCGGCTGATACTTTCAATTCACTCATGTTCACTCATGATACAGCATTATTCCCTTCATCTGCGAATTGATTTATATTTCTACTGCCAGCTAGGTTTATTTGTACAATAAATCCTTTGTGATCAGGTGTAAACCACCAATGAAAGTTATCGCACTCACAGAAATCAAAAAACCACCATGTAATATACACATCAGTTATATGGCTCATGAGAAGCGGGGACAAAAAGTTATCCATATACAAAAACAGTCATCATTGCCTCGATGGTTGGGGATAAGGCGGCTGAAGAATCAAAAATCAAAATCCAAAACAAACTCAACTAACTTCATAAATTTCATAAATCATGCTAGAGATGGGTAGAAAAACTATAATGTACAGTACAATACATTGAAAAGTAGGAAGCGTTGTTTATTATAAAGAAGGAAAGAAAGCAAAGAAAAAGAAAAATAAACAAAGAAAGAAAGAAAGGCAAGAAAATTTCAGATCACCCGCGAATAATATGGCTATAATGTCCCGGTACACGCCTCTGGCACTTATCACAATCGGCACGGTAACCCATGGCAATACTCATTTTGTTCGGACCGCTGGATTTCTTCCTCTGAGGGGTGGTTGTATCTCTATTTTCTGAGAATGCAATATCGTATGCTGCTTGTCGGCTCCAGGTATGTATGGATGGGTTATCATCGATGTGGCACCTCTGCTTTTGATCGGGGACGGGTTGTTTAGTATATTCGCTGAAGGTAGAATTTCCAGGGGTGTCATTAGCAGCAGATGTGACATTGTGATTTAGGCTGTGGTGCGGTGTCAAAGAGAGTTGCTGCGGTTCTGAGGTAGATGTGTCTGCGGGCTCTTTCTCCCAGGGGTGAGTGAAGGATGAAGATTTTCGGAGATTGTTTGCAGTGACTAAAGTTGTGCTTTCAAAATGCCGGTCTATCTGGGAGAAAGTGGTCATTGGGGAAATTTCACCTTCACTGATCGGGCTTGGGAGTCTCCGAGGACGCCACCGGTCTTCTCCATCTGATAACACAACTAAGGATCTGGTAGACGAAGCGATAGAAGTGGCAACATTGGTGCTATCAGAAATGGTGGTGGATGGAGGCACGAACCCGGAAGTACCATTTGCACTACCGGAGTCCTCTCTCATAGCGTTGAGGCTCATATTTGCAGTGAAATGTCCATAGATGGGTGTTGCAGTGCGGCCACCGCTGATATTTAGAGATTGGACAATCAAACGATGCGGGATTGGTGATGACATCACGCTCCCGGACCAATTGGGCGTTGACTCCGCTGTTGAACATGGAGCGATGGTGTTCGAGGAGGAAGAACGGGGTAGGTCGGTCATCTCGACGTCGGAGTCGTTGTCGTGACATGGCTGCACTCTGATCGAAAGATATGTCATGTCATCTTTCTTCCCCGTCTGGTATCGAGGCGCCATAGCAACGTCTGAAGTTGCTCCATTGTCGTCATCATCTGAGGATTCGGTGGGGGTATCAAAGAATTGGTGAGTTTGAGAAAACAGAGTGGTGTGTTTTGACGTGGGAGAGGTTCGAAAAGGTAGTGGTCGCGGCTTCTACAGGAGGGTTAGCAATCATCGAAATTTGAAGAACAGATAGCAGCGTTCGAAATGAACAATCCTCTGTGCTGTTGAAAAGACGGGAACAAATGCTGGCTGCATCCAGCATATACAAACCTTCCGATCCCAATGCCAATCCAAATCCGCCCTTTCAAAAGAATCTTCCCGTTGGCGCTTGACAGATATACACGACATTATTCCCACCTCCTGAACGAGACACTACCATGAAGTCCGGGAGAATGGAGAACAATGGATGAGAGAGACGGAGTCTCGCCGGAATCTGTTCGTAGTCGACCATATAAGAAGGGAAAGGGACGAAGGAAATCAATTCAGATAGATATTGGGATATGAGTGGGCGGGACAAACGACGACAAGCCAGGCAGAAATGAGCGCTACATGATGCGAGGTTTCAGCGAGTATGATACTGCTCCTGTCTGATCCTTCGAGATGGTTGTTTGAAGACGTGTGGGGTTGGAGGCCGACGATGGAGCTCGGGGTTCATCAGCGTCATCTCGTGCTTAGTAACTAACGAGCCAAGTTGCCCTGAGCACGTCTGGGCCAATCATCGTGCAATGCTGGCCCAAAATATGTGGTTAAACTGGATTGGCCGGCAATGGATAAATATTGATCCGTGAATTTCCTCTTCAGGGTTGTTTTGGTTTAACTGCTTTCGAAGTAGTGCATGAAATTTCCAGCGCCCAGACCTTTTTTGACGGAACAGAGAACCATGTAACAGAGACCAAAGAACAACTGCAAGTGCTTATTGTGGAGGGCGCTATTGGTCCTGTGGTGTCAAACACTAGCAAATGTTCTGACCAAGGCATCGTTATCCCGTGGGAATTGTCTGTCCTCTGTTGGGTACACAGGGTCTTGCTGATCGATGCCTAGTAACCTTCCAACTCCGCATCCCTTCAGCCGTATCCCGAATGTGTGAATCAAAGCCGCGAAGATACTCCGCAAAATGGCAAAGTACGGAGCGCTCGATTATATAACTGGACTGGACTGGCGTTGCATGCGAAATGAGTAATTATCAAGCTCTTTGGACTTGTATTCGGGGGAAAAGTTTCATCCTGATAAAATCCTTCCGAGGGGATGACGATCTCGATCTCGCCCCTTGACTCTTCAAGAGGCTGAAGATTGGGTGATCGGCTCGAATTTTGACCCGCATTGACCATTTTACTTCAATACCCAGCACTGATGATGTCGTACGTCTGTGCAGACTGCAGGGCTTGGGAGTTTGAGTCGTTGGCATCAACAACATTATTATCCAAGTAGATTACTGACGCACTCGCGATAAGACACCATCCTCCTGTTCTTGTCATATGAACTGCAGAGTCTGGACGGACTGATTCACTCAGTCCTACATACCCATAGAACATTACTTCATAAACCGCTCTGGGGATCTTAGATTCTTGAGGATTGGGCACAACATGGGGAATCATAATCAAGAAATTAAATGAACTTCATAAGTTTTCCAAGTTGATTTCTTTTCCAAAAATCAAATCTGCCAAAATCTTGTAGCCACCTAAAGCTAAGTAAAATTTTCTGGCCATGACGGCGGAAACACGGGATGCGATTGACTCGTATTCGATTATTTTGCAACACCCCATTTCTCGCTTTGTATTACCCACTCGGAGAGGGAGAGTTGGACAAGATAGCACAAAATGACTGCAGCATTGACTCTACTGCGTAAACCATTAGTAACTTCTAACCACACAGCTAGGCCTCCCAAACCGGGGGTGTTGAGAAGTCCAATTTTGAGAAGAAGTTTAGGATGTCCCGAGCCGAAAAACAAATAGTCGTACCCGAAGATCAAAAATGCAGGACAAGGGCCATAGCATCCATTTTACCGCCCAAAGTTGGGCGCTAGCTCTCTGGACGGCTACTCGATGGGCCATAGCTCACAAGAAGGACGGCTGCAAGCAGGGGCCCTGGCCACCAAAAGCCCCAAGGATATTCCTATTTTTGGCTGGACGACGGGCAGGCACAAACCCGCCAGCAGATCGCGAATCTGAGGGCACCAGAGATTCTCAAACTTGAGCTGTGGAGCCAATTGGCATCGCTGAATGATGAACAAGTCTTTCTTGGCTTCAGGGAAGCCACTGAATGGCATGATCCCTGGCGTCATCTGCATTCTCATACTATTGTTTCCACCCCTCAGGACCCTCATCTCGCAATCTAACACATCCCAAATTCCGAATTCGCCTGGTTCTTAAAACTTACAGCTGGCTCTTCGTGAAGGCTGACCTGAAGAGTGTGTCACTTGGCTGTGGATTCCGCAGCTGTCCGCGAGCAGCAGAAAATGGAGGAATGACGCACATCGGGTGCAATGCCACTATGTCAGCGGGCTGTAATACTGCCGTTACAACCCCGGACCATCGATCAAGGAAAGACAACTGCCTGATAACTATCATCTACCAGATATTATCACATCTCGTATGTCCTGGATTGCTCAAGGGGCGGGCGACAGACCTTCGGGTACCCTAATCACGTGCGCAAGCTAGAATTTGGTATCGCACATGAAAACCTGGCGCTGAGTCATTGAGCCCGTTATCAAGCATCCGCCAAAATTTCTGAGTAACGAACAACACTGCGTCAAGAGAACAGGGACGACAAAAAAAGAAACAAAGCTCAATTTTGTGTCTTACTATTTGCTTCTTAAATACCGCGCCGCCCTGCAAACTGGATGTGTTTTCTTTTTGTGCACCCTGTTTGATTACTTCTCCAAGATAGTTTAAAAACCCATTTCGGCTGACCCCTCCCTTCCGCCCCCTGCAAAGAATTATTTTTTACCTTTCTGTGACCCATTCGCACACCCTCACAATGCCGCTGGTAAAGGCTTCTGTTGAAGTCAACGAAGATACCAGGAGTGAGTTCGGTTTTGTATCTTACTTATACTATTAACTTATAAAATCCCATCAAGAACTGATCGGCATGTTAGTCCTGGGATACGATCCTCTCCTCTCTCCTCAATTCCTCCAGACAGAAATCCGTGCTGTAAGTCACACCTGTCTCGAATTGCGAGGATAGCATACAATATCTATAGCGAACAAAAGAGGCATAGAAAATTGAAGATTAGACAATTATCTAACTCTCTACTCCGTACACAGCCAAAACTAGCTATTGAAACAGTTCAATCCGGCCGCAACCAGGCGATTGAAATCATTGAACAGCGCGATGACCGTCTCCTCGTTGTATGCGGGCCATGCTCGATCCACGACCCAGATACCGCCCTAGAATATGCTAGACGACTGAAGAGCCTCTCCGACAAGCTGAAGTCGGATCTCTGTATCATCATGCGCGCCTATTTAGAGAAGCCCCGCACCACCGTCGGGTGGAAGGGCTTGATCAACGACCCAGACATCGATGAATCTTACAACATCAACAAGGGTTTACGCATCTCGAGAAAGCTCTATGCCGACTTGAACGGCATGGGCATGCCCATCGCCAGCGAAATGCTGGACACAATCTCCCCCCAATTTCTTGCAGACCTGATTTCTCTGGGCGCCATTGGCGCCCGAACAACCGAGTCGCAACTCCACCGGGAACTTGCGTCGGGCCTCAGTTTCCCCGTTGGCTACAAGAACGGCACGGATGGCAACCTAGGTGTTGCCATCGATGCCATTGGTGCCGCTGCAAATCCACACCATTTCCTCGGCGTCACGAAGCAAGGATTAGCCGCCATCACCAAGACATGCGGTAACGAGCATGGCTTTGTGATACTTCGCGGCGGCACGAATGGGACTAACTATGATGCGGAGAGCATTAAGGCGGCGCGCCAAGACCTGCGCCAGAAGAAGCAGCGCGAGATCGTCATGGTCGACTGTTCGCATGGGAACTCGAAAAAGAACCACCTCAACCAGCCCATTGTCGCTCAATGTGTTGGCAACCAGCTGCGGAATGGCGAGGAGGCTATCATTGGTGTGATGATCGAGTCGAATATTTATGAAGGGAACCAGAAGGTGCCGCCGGAAGGTCCGTCGGGCCTCGCCAAGGGTGTCAGCATTACCGATGCTTGCATCAATTGGGAAATGACCGTTGAAGTGCTGGAGCAGCTTGCCGAAAGCGTACGCATTCGCAGGTCCCTTCGCGCTGCGAATCAGAATGATGTCTCGAGTAATGGGGGAAATGTCAACGGGCATACTAATGGGTCTGCTTGAGGTGTTTTTTTTTGTTCCCTGTTTTTTTTTTTTTTTTTTTTTTTTTTTCACTTTTCTCTATTTTTTCCCTTTTCTTTGACCGCCTCTAGAAGAAAAGCACACAAATTAGAAACGACTTGCCCCTTATTTTTTTTTTAATACTAAATTCATCTTTTTTCAACTTCCGTTGAATCCAATCGAATCGGTTAAAGCATGGCGATACGAAGCAAGAATCTTTGGTACAAAGGAGAAACATATTTTCGTCATTTCAGCTTCTGAAATTTTAACCAAAATCCTTTGTCCCGCTAAAACAAAGATTTTTCACCTTTCATCAACAATCCCGAAGTTTTCCTTTCCCTTTCTCTTGGAAACCTTTCCCTCTTCCTCCTCTCTACCCCCCTCCACTCCAAACCACTCCAAACCCCTTTACAAAGCACAACTGAACATCTTCTCATTTCCAAACTGAAACATATGATGAGAATCTCTTTTAGGATTTTAGATAAATCAGAATCAGATTGGTAGATCAGGGGTCGCCGTTTATTGGTACTCCAAAAATTCATATATATTCATTCATTCAGTAATACTCGGCTCTACCCTTAATGAATTAACGTGACATCATTGTTGTTGGAAGTGAAGGGAAGAGAACAAGCCTGCCTCTCATGGATGACCACCAAAGTTGTCAGATATCGGACATGTGTTCGTATGCAACTGATAACATAACACTGGCTGGGCTCGATTCATGTCCCCATTCTGTGATCAGTATACATATATATATATATATATATATATATGAACAGTTACGTCTTCAACCTTCAGATCGGTGACCTTGTTGTTTGGATTGAGGATATTTCACTAAACTCTCCTGGGGTAAACAGAAAATGGCCAGTAACGAGTATATGCATATATATGCATGTCTAGAATTGGAAATGATGCGGATGAATGGCCTGGAATTTGTTGCATTGAATCATCATTTAATTACATACCCCCCCAAAACCAACAACCCCCCCGCCCCCCATCAAAAAAAAAAAAAAAAGAAAAAAAGAAAAAAGAAGAAAATCTCGAGAAAGAGAAATCAATTCAAGGCCAATAACTCTACTCTGAATCATAAGCAACAATAAAACTTTGGGTAAATTGCATGACGATCCATCTACATTATTCCTCGCCGAAAACAAAATGATATATACTCATCAAGCAACTCTTAATTCAACATTGTATATGAAGCAAGAAACCGATACGAGAGGCCCAGTGAAAAGCGATGCCCATCTATACAAGCCGATTTAACACCGAATTCTCGGTAGCTTTGTTTCCTTGGCGAAAGTGCCTGGAAATGATAGGTAGCCGCGTTGGACCTGTATCTGAATAATACCGATAGCGCATGTTTCCAACCATTCTCTCAAAAACCTCGTGCTTAATCAGGTTGCGGTCGACAAAATCTGACAAAACCGTGGCTCTGCAGGGGCGATGGTTAGCAAAAATAAGCAAGTGGTAGGTGCCACAGGCTGCTGGGAAACTGAAGGGGAAAAAATATGGGATGAAAAGTTGAACCTACATCCAATACCGACATCCATCACTATCCGCCGGGAACGTATACGACTCTCGCTCGCGCAGGATGATGGCATCCATGAAATTTGTAATTTTAGCATTGGCAGAAACGGGCCAGTCCCAAGCCAAGACTGTAGAGTCCGGCTCATCATAAGAGTGTTTGGACCAGACCAGATTCCCTGTGCGGTTGCCATCTGTAGCTTTCATGTTCATTTGCGTAGCGCCACCGTTCGGCGTGCGTAGGTATATGGACCAGTGGTTGAAACCGGTTGAAGAAACTTGGCTGAGGTGACTATGGGCGACAATCCGGATGCCGATGACTGGGGTGTTATCGGTCAAGGGGTCGTAGGCGGTTCTAATTGTCATGGCTGTTGGTCGCTTCCTTCACTGCTATTCCCTTTCGTCTCGTTCTTCTTCGTTCTCTTTTCTCTTGGAGTTTAGGATCAAGGCTATGTCACGATGGAGGTGGAAACGTTCAAGGGTGTTATTGTGAATGATATATAAGATCGAGAAGATATGCAAGCACGGCTTGGAGAAATGATATGGATGGCTTCACCATGGCTCTTATATAGCAAATGAAGGATTAACTTCAAGCCAGTAAGTTATCCTGACCCTTGAGAATCTGTCACTTGGTGAATCTGTTTGTAAACGTAAAGAATATTATCATTGTCGTTCTGCACGGGAATCTCCATGTTAGTAAGGTGTCCGGTTATCAAACGGAGTTCCTTCCATCAGGCAAAAAGAAAGCCTGTCAAAGTAGGTTCTCTCTGATATCAACATCAAAGCATCAAAGGAAATTAGCATGCGAAGTAGCGTATGTTTAAAGCTGATGCCAGCTTCCTGAGTATTTATGAGCTTAAACCAAAATCGCAGACACTGGAGAATTTCTAATTAGCATTTTCCGCCTTTCAAAATCGACGACGTTTCGTGTGGAAAATCTGACACCACCGAAAAACAAGGGATTATTTCTTTACCCCTGTATCGGGGGGTTTTGGGAAAGTTCGCATGGCAAACAAATTCAAATTTCACAACCCCTTTGTTGGCTTTACTTTTCAGAAACAATGGGTTATCCCGCAAAAATCCAAGCAGGTCACTTGATATGCCATCGCCGGTTAGTGAACTACCAACGCAAAATCGTTTGCTACTCTATTACCCCCAAGTAGCTATCAGGCAGGCTTTGAGTCGGTAGACGGTAAAGACGAAAACTAGCTGTATTGGTCCTTGGATAGTGAATATCCTTTTTTGATAAATTAACCGCTATACTTCGCATAGAAGCGTTCTCGCGGAGCGCATCTTCCCAAAAGAATTGAATATATTAACGTTCCACCCGATTTAATTGACACAACCAGGAGGAAAAATCCAGGAACGAAAATACGAACTTGGAACGAGGTAGGAAATTAAAAGTGGGTTTGCTTGGTCGATTCGACCAATCCACCATCGCACAAGAAGTTGCTATTGCTGGGGAAAATCACATTTCCTGGAATGAAACAAGTCCACTTTTCACTTCTTTTAGCTACATGGATAGACGCCTGGGCGGCCATCCACATACCGCAGACAGGTGACAGACAGCACATCGCAAGCACGAAAATCCTTCGCTAGGAATCGCAAGGATCTCTTTCAAAAGACGAGCAGAGGCAATTCCGTTGCAGCTCGGCCAATGTGAAATCCTGAGAAGTGCGAAGAGTTCAATTGTTTCATGTGTGTTTGAAAACCTGATCGAATGGATAGTATCAATCAATTCATTTTTAACAAGCGGACGATAAGAGGTAGGAATCCCGTATTTCGTACGACGCAGCCGTGTTTTGGCGATACAGTAGCAAGGAGGCGGATCCAACCCGCTCTATGGTGTTCAACGATGTGGCTGGGGCTGCGTGTTTGTTTTCAATTGCCTCCTTCAAGAGGCACTGTTTGGCTGGCACGGACTTCTGCTGGATACCCAAGCATCAATCTTTACAAAGATCTTCCAAGAGTTGCAGCATTTGCTGCCGCAGAGCCTTCAGCTCACCCGGTTTGAGAAGATCACTTGAATGAGACTCCGAAACCGGATCACATGACGAATCAACTAATTCGCCCCGGATAGTAAAAAAGGGTATACCCATGGCGCGAAGTTCAGCGTTTAGAGACTTCGACATCGCTGTCAGGGCCTTGTACACCTTTTTATCGTATGTGCAAAGTTCGAATTTGTCATCTTGAGGGGTCTATGCAGAAGCAAAAAACATATCAGCATGAGCATGCCCCTCAGATATAACAGTACATAGTTCATAAATTTAGATGCAAAATGGAAATGGTCACTATGTTTTTCATCAGGTGTAGGTGGGGAATGCACATACGGGACTATCCGAGTCTTTCGCAACAAATCCACCAACCGAACGTCTGGGAACGAGAGTTATCAAAACCGTTCGCAAAGGCATCACTTCAATAAAACAGCGGAGATTAGAGTTCCTCGGCTTACAAGACCTCATCAATCTGTCTCTTCTTTGCTTCCCGGCCTGCCTGCTTTGATAGCAATGCCTGTCTGCCCTCCCACCACTGTCTCTCATGGTCGTGTTGCGTGCGGATCAGTCTCTTGATCTTGGACCGGATGGCTTCATTCTGTGCCACGGTTTTCATGACATATTTCAATGCCGCAGGCCAGGTGGTTATAGTGGACGGGTCAGGTATGTTGGGTGGTTGATTTAGCTCCAATGTATGCTGTTCCAGGGGGGCATGTCTAGAGGTTGAAGTTGGTCTAGTATACGAATTATTATTCGAGCTCTCAACTGGAGGGTTATGAATTCGAGATTGGTCCTGAACACCTGGTGAATATGCTGATAGCGTCCTCAGCACAGATGTGAGATCCGGGACAGGGCTGTGTGATGGAGCTGCCATTAGGTCTGATTGTGGGTGTTTTGACGAGAAGACCGGCACCATTCGTCAATGGTCCCTCAGTATCCAAAAACTCAATACCTGTCTGTACTACTATAGTGTCTTTGCTCTTGTGCTCTCTTGATGGTGTTGCGGAGTTAGTATCGAGAGGTTCAACGGCTATGTTGCGCTAGTCCTGATTTATTTAGTTTGAGTCTTGGCTGACTCGAGCCTCTGAGCTCGAAAAATTTCCCAACCTTGAAGCTACCGACGAAGCCTCCACATTCCCACTCAACCCCGGACAGCTACGATCCTAACCCTTTATTACTTTCTAGCCCGTAGTATACACTCCGCCGTGGTTCATATTGCCAGTGACATCTTAATAACACTCTGTACCCCGCCCCGAAAGGGCAATTGGCCTCCCTCCCTTCCCGCCACTATGTCCCGGTCCGCGGCAGATGCAACCCGCTTCACAGCGACAGGTCCCTATGCCTCCTCGAAAACGTCAATAGTAAATACCGGAACCTCGAAATGGACAGGCGCAAAGTCCAGCACGTCCAAGACGGCCGGACCGTTCGCCAGTCCCGAAGGCTCCAAACAAGAGACTCCCAAGCAAAAGGTTGAGCGGCTACGTGCTGAGGCTCGGGCCGCGCGGTATTCGAAAGCGTTTACCCCGATGGATCGGATTATGTCCAAAGGGCGGATATGGGCCGACCGTGCGCATAAAATTACAGTTTATACCCTTATAACTGCGTCCGGTACAGTTCATTTCCTCTGTCCCTGATCAGCTAATTTACCTGTTCCCAAGTTGTATCGTGATTTCACCAGGATTGGAATATGGGAAATAGAATTTATCATCCTGGATTCGCTGTTATCCTTCCGGTGTTTCCTATTCTTGGGTATAGTGCTTACTAGATGGTTTATCCTTTGAAATTTAGGTATAGCTGCTGCTCTCACAATCTACTCAGCAACATCTTTGATAATCTACAATCGCCGCCAACGACAACTGTGGATTGATAAGGAATTACAAAAGCTCTTAGATGCAAGAAAGGCATATGTCGCGGGTAATCCCACGCCAGATCAACTTCTATTGTTGGAAAAGGAGAAACAGGCGGAGGAGGAAAAGAGACTAAATGAAGAGCTGAAAAAGCAAACAATGTTTTACAAAGGAAAGGCATGGTTATTTGGAGGATTGAAAAATGAAGATAGTCCAAGTGCTGGATTCAAAGGCGCCGACGAAATTGCGGATTCGAGACCGAGCGTGCTGGAAGCTGTGAATGCCAACAGAGTCGAAAACGCTGCACCATTCGAACGAGCGCCGAACCCTGGTGGTCAATTGGAACCGAAAACACATGAAGGATCGAATGAATCGAAAAGAAGTTGGACGAGCTGGATAACGGGACGATAAATACCAATGAGAAGCTGCCATATCTCTGCAACTTTCTAGTTTCCGAGAATGATATGTCAGGAGGCCCATTTTTCTCAACTGACATTTTCAATTTTTTTTATTGGCATGTGTGCTCTATGTGTTTTCCTTGGCCTTTTCTTTCCTCCCTGGCCTCATTGACTCGGAATCTTACTGTACATATTATTTTGTCAGCATTGCTTTATGGCCATTTTCAGGCGTCCTTTGGCGTATACATATCGCTATTTTCCCCTCACTATGTATGACCATATCTCTGTCTCACCCGTCTCCCTTGGAATACATACATGAAGAGTTGCAGAAACTTGAATTTATCATGTCGATTATCCATGCTTGGGGTCATCTTTGATATCATGGTGAGAAGGTCTGGATACTACATGCCTCGCGATTCATCATCCGTCAACTAAACTCGCATCCATTTGAAAATGTCCGCGGTTATTTCTCATCTTGAGTTCTTGATCATATGTCTCGATTCAGCGAAACCGTCGACTCGATATGCATGCACCACAGCCACACAATTGAGGCGAGAATAGACCTCTTCTTTTACCCCATGCTATCAACTTGTCCAAAGCCGAGCAGCATCATTTCCTGATCAATTTGTCATTCCAAAGTCCAGGAAGACGTATCAGCATCTCAAGGACGCAGTGACCCCGAAGACTGGAAGTGATCCGACAATAAATCATGGATGGAGAAATCTAAATTTATCTTCATTTAGTATCGCAAGATGAAGGTGTGTGTCTTGAAACGTCACTGTGCTAGGTAGTGAACCAGATTATCAATAATAATATTAAGACACTAGTTTGTTCTTGTATCCATAGAATCTACCTTGTACATGACCAGAAGATACTTGTAGCTGGTGTGGGTGGAACTCTTCGGGTGAGGGAGGATGTCAACCGCACCCACTATGTCCTCAGCCATCTCAGGAACAAGGAGCTTCTCGAAGTCAACCCACTCCTGCTGAAGCTCTTCAATCCAGATTGCTCTCGCTGGGTCATCATCCTCCGTTATCACCATATTCCTAGAATGAATATTGCCATGACTATCCACAACAAGAAAGATCTCACAGAACTTTCTATGCCGGAGTTGCTCCTCGAAAACTGTTTCTGATAAGTTGATTTCTAAGAAGTGTCTGCCGGAGAAAGATATCTGCAACTATTCCTCAGTTTCCTGTCCAAATCTGGGGTCGTAAAAAATATCCATCTGTACTCCGTCTGCGAAAATAGGATCCAAAATTGGCTGTAGCCTTGGTTGCAACCAGGCGGTTGGGGTTGGGCCTACAAGGTTGACCATGGGCATAAATTTAGCAAGAAAACATCCAGCATGGCTCCTATCACTATGGGCACTAACTAATCTGTGTACAAACATACCTCGTATAGGTCCATGCGTGTGATCTTGAACTTGGTCCGCGCCTGGTCCATGATCAGCTAATTATCCTGATTTACCTTGAGATGGTTTTAAAGCAGTGGGGTCCGGAATCAGCTGTATTCTTTCCCCTTCTCAGCGGTGCAACTTGTGTCAACATCCAATTCCTCAAAGCCGGGTTTCTACCGTCATTCAGTAGCTCACCAGGACTATTGATTGCAGAGCTTCAACAAATTTTTATACCTGTATTTCATTCTATACAAGTTCAAAGTATAGAAGAAAGGTGGAAGACAAAAACCCTGGACTGGGGACACTTATTATAAGCAAAAGATCTATCTCCCCCGCCTCACAGGTTGCGAGCACTTTTAACACATGGAGAATTTTCAGTAAGAGTTGCAAAACATCCACCCCTGGTTACACACCCGGATACTCTCCGACAGGTGTAGTCTGTATCGAGTATGCATATGCAGCGTACACAGATACCATGTGCCTCTCTCACAAGGGCCAACGGCTCCGCTTCTCTGTACACCCAGCGAGAATGGCAGCGAGCTGACCAAAACCAGAAAGTCAGACTTCGATGATGGATTGGATAGAGCCAGGCCCAGAAGGGAGGCTGTCAAGAAAAAAAAAAGGCTGGTTGGCGATTTTCTTTCGTTTCTTTTCTTTCTAAAATTAGTGCAACGCCCTCGACGACAAACTTCGGTTATCTCAGAGACATCAATGAATGGGATGAGGGGTGGGTAAAGATAATCGCATGGCCAATTTCCTCGCTAACGAAAAGAGAATGCACTTCGAGGCAACCGAGTAGATGCTCAAAGCCGTCCTCAGGCTAAATAAACCCCGTGGAGATGAATGAGTCAACCAAAGACTCTTTGGCGCTAGACAAAGCAATGGAATTGAATTTTCACACAAGATCATTTTCGAAACGAAGGTTCAGTGGTGTAATCATATATATTTTTAACTAGTTAAGGGATTCGAGAAGACCTAAATCCTAGACTTGATACCATCTACTACACATTTTTAGCCCATGCGGAAATTCAATGCGCAGGCATCGATAAAGGCTGACATCACCTTCCGGTCCAAAATGCTATTAGCGGCTTCGGCGGCTGCTTGGCTTGACAAGGGTTAATTTTAACCCGTATGGATGGTAATAGACGTTAGGCTGGCCGGATTGGATGCCTTCTCTGCATTCAGGTACTCTGCATAGCTGTTGTATAACCAACTCATCGAAGCAAACAAGCAAAGAGCATATCCCGATCTCATTCCTTGACACGGAGGATCCATTGACAAAACGAGATAAAAATCTCTCTCGGTTCCTGGTGGCTTAGGATGTTGACTGGCAGAACGAGGATATTATAATATCAAATAGAGTACTCTCTCCGTTCACTTGGACTTTCTTTCCCATGCCTGGTTGATCGCTTCGGTGGCCAACTCTATGAACACAAACGCGGGGTGTTTACGAGGAATGATGGCGGTTGCTTGCTGGAGGGCGACGACCTTGAGCCCAAATATGCGCGGTGGCGCTGTCTGGAACGGACAGCCCAGAATTAAGTTACGGCAACTGGCGGAGGAAACCTTTGTTCGCACTGCAAGTTTATCTGTATCCTGAGTGTTACATATGCATGGTGTACACACATGAGATACTCCTACCCCTCGTGGATAGCAATCAATGTGACACCCAGGTTGTGGATTGTCGGTTGGATGCAATCGGCTCATCGCCGAGTGTTATGGTGTGAGCCAATCTATGCACTGCCCACCGTTACCTTGGGACAGCCATGAAACATGGCAAAAGGTCGCTAACGGCTGCCGTAACAGATTAACATCCTACCATAACGGCTTCAAGTTCGTCGAAATCGTTGCTTGATGACATCCGGACTGAATGCGCTGTGTGGATACTGGGGTATGCGGATATTTTCCCCGCATGCGCATGCGATTCATCCCCATCGACACCGGCAAAACGACATAGAACCTAGGCATAGTGACTCTCTGACGGGGCAGCCGGCAAGTCCGTTGACTTAGCAGCGAACTCGAGATCTATCCAGCAAGCATCCTGGCTCCGGTTTGGCCTGCCAATGTCTCCTTGGCCTTAGATACTCCGTGGCCTTAGGTACTGGCAGACACCTCTCTGGGCTCCCAAATTCCCGGAAATAGAGCATGAATTCCACATTGTTCTCTTGTCATTTGTTGCTTTGACACTAAAAAAAAAAAAAAAAAAAAAAAAAAAAAAAAAAAAAAAAAATTCACACTGTGAAGCCTGCTTTGTGGGAACGCTATAAATATTTCCCTAGAGAGCTACCTCCTGAGGACCCTGTTGTCATCCATGCAGCAAGGCCACGGTAACTCTTCTAGGGCGTCGCCTTGGTTGATATTGGTTAAAAGCAAAATAAAGTGAGTGAGTGAATATTGATCCATATCATACTCTACATCAACGTCCTTCCCTTTCTTTGCCTTTGGCCCCGTTGATTCCCCTGGTCTATTCGTTTTTTTGCGGATACATGCACATGCACTGTTAATTGCATGGACGTTAGAAATATGGCCGCTTACACAGCTCCTTCCACAGTACATATATAGTTGCGTACTCGCCCCGTGATCGGGGTGCCAGTCAAACACCTGATTTGGTGGACGAAATATACCAGTGTGTGTTCAGTTTTTCGCTACATCATCTGCAATGTTGTCCTTGATACACGTCGTGGTGGGAGCCTTTGGCTGCTTTTTCCTATATCAAGTATACCTCTACTTCACTGTCGGTGCCGCACGTCGAAAACTAGTCAAGGAGCATGCATGTAGGCCGCCTCCAGCGTACCCACACAAAGATCCCATTTTCGGTTTGGATCTCACCATGAAACTCAGGGGACATAAGCAAAAGAACATCCTCCTCCAAGAATCCGTAAAACGCTACCGGATCTTTGGAAACACCTTTTCACTGATCGGTGTCGGAATACCTAGTAAGTCCTCCTGCCACAACTTGGGATGCAGGCATAGGCCTCACGATTTGTTTGGGCCTGCAAACAACTAACTACTTTTTGTCCCAAGCGATCTCTACTTGCGAGCCTGAGAATATTAAATGCGTGTTATCTCTTAAGTTTTCTGATTATGAAATCAACGCCCTTAGGAAAACAGCCTTCCATGGTGTTTTTGGTCAAGGGATATTCACCACAGATGGTCCTCAGTGGGAACACTCAAGAACTATGCTCCGGCCAAATTTCAACCGCGCTCAGGTTGCCGAGCTGGCTATTTTTGAAGCACATATACAGAACCTCATCCAAGTGGTCCCCACCGATGGATCTACCGTTGACCTCCAGCCGCTGTTCTTTGATCTTACTGCAGACACCGCAACTGAGTTTTTGTTCGGAGAATCAGCAAACACTCTTCATAAGAACTTCAAACCCTCTACTGAAGAAAATTTCGCTGAAGCCTTCACCTACTGTACGACAGAAATTGGCAACTCCCTAAGGGTGGGCCTCCTCGACAGATATTTCAAGACCGACAAGCGCTTTGAAAGGGATCGGAAACTGATTCACGACTTTGCGGACCGGTATGTGAAGAAGGCGCTTGAGAATCACGCGAATGAAAAATACGGAAGCGGCACTCTTCCCGAAAAGGGCCGCTACGTATTTCTGCAAGAACTAGCGAAACAGACTCAAGATCCCATTGCTCTTCGTTCCGAAACACTAAACATCTTGCTTGCCGGTCGCGACACCACCGCCAGTCTCTTAGCGAATGTCTGGAACATAATCCCCAAACGCCCAGACGTGCTGAAGAAACTCCGTGCAGAGGTCGACCAACTCGGTGGGAGAAAGCCCACATTCGAAGAACTTAAAAATATGAAATATCTTAAATATGTGCTTAACGAATGTGAGCTTGCGCAGAAACCTGGATGAACCAACACACCGCAGCTCCCTTAGCGAAATACTGGTTTACTAACAACCCACTTTTTGGTGGCATTCCAGGTCTCCGACTCTGGCCCGTTGTCCCAAACAACGCACGTGCGGCCATTCGCGATACCGTCCTCCCACTTGGTGGTGGGCCGGACGGCAAATCACCGGTTTTTGTCAAAAAGGGAACGACGCTCGCTTACAGCGTCTACGCCATGCACAGACGCCAGGACATCTACGGGCCCGACGCTGCTGAATTCCGACCTGAGCGATGGGAAACTATCAGACCTGGCTGGGAGTATTTGCCATTTAATGGTGGACCGAGGATTTGTCTTGGCCGTAAGTCTCCTCGCATTTCTTTTCCTTTACGCCACCACCCGGCCGGCCCTGGCTATTCGTTTTGAATCCCCCCCCCCCCCACCACAAACAAAAAAAGAAAAAGAAAACACTTTCTAACCACAAAGCACGTCCAATCCGGATACATGTAAATAAAATACAGAACAATTCGCCCTCACAGAAGCTTCGTACACTACAGTTCGGCTCATGCAACATTTCCGCACGATTGAATCGCGCGACCCAGAACCGTGGACTGAATGGGTCACCATTACATGTGCTAGCCACCATGGTGCTAAAGTTTCGCTGAAGCCATGAACCCTGAATCGATTCCTTGCCCTTGACACTTTGGTTGTGGGTGAAGGGACTTAGTTTATTGAAATGACTTAACGTTGATTGGTGAATTTTCTTACTCTTATCTCTCCCTCTCCCCCATTTCCTGTTTTCGGTTTTCGTTTCCTATTTGCTTCTTGTGAAAATTATATACTCCGTGGTTCGTGGTTGCAGTCTACAATTCTGCTGTTTGTATGTTAGCTGTACGTCAAAGTAGGGTTGTGGTTTTAAAAGGGGGCGGCGGTTTGAATTTATGACATGGTCTTCTTTGATATATCTTTATTGAAGCTCGAATGCATGCATATTTGTTCTTTTCTCCCTTTGTAGATTAAACATGTTAGTTCAACGTTGCCGGTAGCCTTACTATGTAAAAATATCTTCTTGTAGATCAACAATTGAGGTGCACATTGGAATGCAGCTAGTAACATGACTCACCATCCAATGAACTCATCCACTCAACAAACTCCTATTTTTTCCATGAATCTCTGCAACTCTTCAACTTTAACCACCCACCATGCCACCCAACAAAGTGATTATAGAGCAAGCGATTGCTCAATTGAATCAACAATTGATTTCTAAATATGCTGAGGTTGTAAAAAAATTCAGAATCAATCACATTATCTTGATGCAGTGGTTCAAAGATCAACAGATCTTCAGAACAGAGGCAATATCAATTTATTGTCATAATCTTATAAATACTGAAGAATAACACCTTCTATTTCATATTAATTAGTTATCTGATTGTGACATCCCTGTGACACCTCAAATACTGCATAATTTTGTATTTGAAATCATCAAAATGTAAGTAGAAATCAACTGAATGTCTCACTTTTATAAGCAGCATAAAGTAAAGATCAAGAATGTCTATCTTCACACTCTGAATCAAAAGAAAAAGCAGGCAGATAATAGCTACTATTTTAAACAATTCTTTATTCTTATAATTACAGTTTTTTTGCTTCTTTTCACATGCAATTTCATGAGCTTTCTGCTGACTTCTATTGAATAATTGCAGGAGAAAATCAAGCAGTATAATATTCTCTCTCAGAACATCTACAATTTCAATGAAAAAGACTTTCTTCTTAATCTTCTTCATACTTTCAAGCAAATTATTTCTATAAAAGCTCTCAAATGAAAGCATACAATTGAAGCAATGCAGAATGACAGTAGAAAATTCATTTCTTTATTTATCAGTATTTATACAAATGAAATTACAATTTCATCTGCATTCATTTACTGCAGAAAATTAAGAAATATATAAAATACATAATTTGAAATATAACAAATTAGCATCTATTAATAATTAATTTACACAATCAACTCCTCTTCTGCATCTACTCATCTTTATTATTACACTCTGTGTTTGTATAATTTTTAACAATTCTTTCATATAATCTCTTCTGCTTCATACTTTACACTCATGTAGCTCTAACAATTCTTTTGTGTAACTCTTAATGTTCTTTCATTTCATGCTTCATTTCATACTCCACTGTGAAGCAGCTTCTGATATTCTTCCACTTTGATTTTCTTTTTATAAAAACCCTCTTTATATAATCTTTTCTTTTGATTTATTTTCTCATTTTTTCTTTAATCAATTTATAATCTGTATTTAAAATAATGTTAAATTGTTAACTAAAATACATTTATTACATTATGAATTGATTTATCTGTATCAGTCTGAGTGCTCTATGTTTATAATTGCACTCAGATGTTCAAGTTAAAAAATAAATTATCAAATTCTCATAAAGTTATATTATTGTAATAACATTCGCAATTTTTAAAGTTTTATGAAGCTGCATCACTGTGATAGTGCTGTGAAAAAATCTGAATGTTTAAAAACTTCATAATTGTGTGTTTATGAAGAAATCAGAATGGTTATAAAATATCTTCTCTGAAGAACTGAATCTTCTGATTTTTAAGTTATTAAAATCAAAAATTATGATCTCATATAAAAATGAGATGAATTACAAACACTTCTTTATAAGTAAGAACTGAAGCTTTATAAAAGATAATGCTGAGCTTCATAACTTTCCTCAACAGCAATTCTTATAAATGATGAAGTTTCAATGATAATTGAATTATTTGAATATAAATATATCAAAAATCATGCAAGCATCAACATCTTCTGTATGTATGTATGTATGTATAGGTTTAACGTCCCGGAGAAAACACGGGCAGCGCCCGTGTTTCAGAAGCCTCCCGAAGGGCATGGAGACGTGCTACGCTGGAGAGATTTCTATGTACACAGAGAGACAGAGAAAACAGAATCCAGGTGGCAACTCTTGAGAAGACTCAGCTCATTGCAAAGGATTTTTCTGAGCTGCGCATCCACTTCTGGCCCGACGTATGGCCATTCATGGTGGGGCTATAGTGTGGTTCCCTGTCAACATCTTCTGTGTATGAAAGAAAAGAACATTTTTCTTTTTTCAATAAATTCCTAAAAGAGCTTTCAATCTATCTAGCTTGAAAATGGAAGATAACAGTCAAGTTTGAAAAAGATAAATTTGTAATAGACTCTCTACTCTTGTAAGCTTGACCCCGGTAGCTGAAAAATAAAAAAATGTGAATTTGCTAAGTAAATATTTTCAAATAAATTTATTATCTGATTTAGCTTATTGTTTCTGAGCTGAAAATTTGTATCATAAATATCAAATCCTGTCTTTCATTAATTTTTTTATGTTTTTATTACATTTTTAACATCATTCAACATTAAACATTTCTTCTATATAATCAACTCTTATCTGTATTTAACATTACACAAGAACTCATAATAAGCACTACTTGTATACGAGTATAACAGAATAATAATAATAATAATAATCTTATAAGTCTGCTATATTCATAGTTAATTAAAAGAAGACACTTTAGCAAAGTTTCAATTTTGAATTAAATCATACATATACGAAATATGTATTTCTGAAGAAATCTTCTGTCAATTAAATGTTCTATTCTTGAATTCTACACTGCAAGCACATGCAATGCAGTGGTTGAACAGAAATTGTTAGAGAAATAATATCTAAATAAATTATCTGTATGATTTCAATAGCAAAATCTGTGATGTAAAAAAACAAAATTGAAATGATACTGTGAAGACTAATTTTTTAAATCAATATATCAATTTTGAACTCTTTAAACTTTATATCTCATATATTATGTCTTCATATTATCACAACTACTGCACTCATTTCCATCAACTCAACAACAATCTCACACATTTCAACATTGTATAAGAAAGTTATAACAATTATAAATAGAATTTTACATTTATCATTGTGTTGATTATATCAACCATCTCTGTGAATGCTATAAATTGAATTTCTTATATGAATGCAGAATGGTTAAAAATATTTGATTTCTTTAAATGAAAAGTTACTGACTGAATCATCTGAGAAGTTTGCATTCATTGTAACAAACTGAAACACTTTGCAAATCAGTATATCAACACAATAGTCGCAGCTTCTACACTATGTGTGAACATAACTACATTTATAAATGAGCAAAAACAGAGAAATGAAGAGCTCTTGTTCTAAAATATGAATGAGAGTTAAAGAAGCAAAAAGCAAGCTAAAGATTTAAATAAAAAATGCAAGTAAATGCAATCATAATTTCTGCCATTGTAAATAATTTAATCAATGTATGAGCAATGATAGACAGTGGTTTTCTTCACTATGCTCTTATAAACACTTAGTTGATTGAAAAGTATAAGCTTCAGTGTATCTTCTTTTTCAAACTGTATAAGCTTAATGAATTTGATGGCTTCAGAGAATCAGCCTTCTACAATATGATAAAATTCAACATTGATGTAAAAGAATATGAGAAAAATAATGTTTATATATATGAAATGCAAAACCTTGAATCATCTCAAAATCATGCTACATACAGAAATTTAATTATTTTCATTGTTATCAATGAAAAGATTTAATAAATCAATGAAATATTTAAATATTATCATACTCACAGGTTTGGTTAATATGTCTGCTATCATATTTTCAGTTGAAATGTGTTTAATAGAAATAATGTCTTCATTCAATTATATGTGAAAATAGTGAAAGTGAATGTTGATATGCTTGTTGTATGCTATGATCACAGCAATGATAATTAAATCAATCAAATTTTTATTATCTGCTTTGATAGATAAGAGATTCCTTGTTGTAACAAATTCTAGTTTCATCATCATATTATGCAATTATATTGCTTTATATAGTTCTGCTCAATCCAAATCTGTATAATCTATCAGCAAATATGATGTATTGAGAAATTCATTGCTCTCATTTTTGAAATCTTTATATAAGATGTCACAATCATTTGTTTCTTTTAAATATTTACAATTTAATGTTCAATTTGTTGTGATTTATGAAATTTGAAACTCTAATAGACATACACAACTGTTGTCTAATTTTTTTAGAAGGTGACTGTGTTTATAAAAAAAATATCAATAAAATCATTGATCTCATTCAAATATCAGCAGAAGCATTCAAACTATTAACTCATTAAATATGTAAAAAGAAGAATGTTCAAATGTTCATTGTCAATATGACAAATATCAAGAAAATGTTAGAAAAGTTAGAATTTAAAAATTGTAAAAATTTTGCAAAGAACTTCTCAAATTATATAAGAATTTCACAAACATATTTGATGAAAAAGCACCTGATTATTATTATTCTTTCATTATAGATGTATACAGTCAGTGACTATGACATCTTGCCCCGGTGGCTGAATGGATAATGCGGCCACCAGATAGCGCCTTGATATGGGTATTCAAAACACATGAGTTCAAAACTCACAAGAGGACAACATTACATTCAGAGTCAACTTCTCAGCCTTTAAAATAAATAGATATGAATTTGTCAAATAAATATTTTCAGATGAATCTACTATCTAATTTAATTTATTATTTCTGAGCTGGAAATCTGTATTGTGAATATCAAATTGTAAGAGATGAGCTATAGAAATAGTTATAAAAGTAAAGTGAAATATGCATAAAAGATATTTAGAAAATAGCAATCTCTATTATTCAAAGTTAATCACTCATCTTCTCTATCTACAAATATCAGTGAGCATTATATAGACAATATTGCCATCACATTACATTCATCACAATTGATTTCAATGTGTTTTATACCTTTCTATCATCACATATTTATTTTTTAATATAGATATTTTTATTGCATCTATTACAATTATCTCTATTCTTTAAAGGTCTGATTCTTAGAGCTTTTTATTGTAATATGTGAAGTTTATAATATATACTGTGTGGTTGATATTGTACAAAATTCACAGAATCAGATTGAATTAACTACTGAGGTTAATTTCAAAGTATTGCTGTCTTAGAAGAATGTTTTTCAGTTTCAGTATTATTGCAATTTAATTATGATTTAAACACAATCTCTAAATCTCTTTTCTTTAACTTTTTCATTAAAAATCATACTTTAACGAAATCATAACCAACATCACCATCAATGATTTTTTATTTGTATATATGTATGTATGTATAGATTTAACGTCCCGGAGAAAACACGGGCAGCACCCGTGTTTCAGAAGCCTTCCGAAGGGCATGAAGATGTGCTACACTGGAGAGATTTCTATGTACACAGAGAGAGAGAGAAAACAGAATCCGGGTGGCAAATCTTGAAAAGACTCAGCTTATTGCAAAGGATTTTTTCAAGCTGCACATTCACTTCTGATCTGATATATGGCCATTCATGATGGGGCTATAATGTGGTTCCCTGAGAGGACTGCTGCTGCTATGTCTGAAAGACTTTATAGTAGGTAGAGAGGGATATCTCTCTCAGTTGATCAAAAAGCTGTCTGTGCTTCTAACATCAGAAGAAAGACAGATAAGATAAATGAAAGAAAGAGAGGGAAAGTATGTATTCTGAAATGAAAAGAATAAAAGAGAAAGATGAAGGAAAGATTGTGTCATCTGCAACACCTTGTAGTTTTATGATCTGACACAGACTCAGAGAAAGAGAGGAGAGAGTACTGAAGAAGGATGTGAAAGAAAAAGAGCAGAGAATGACAGAGAGAGTAAAGAAAAGAAGAAAGAAAAAGTATTTGAGTTGATAGAGACAAGAACAAATGAGAGAAAAACAAAGCAGAGTATGTGTAGATACAATGCCAGCAGTCAAGAACATATCAACTAAGTCAGACATACAGACTGTATTGATTACATTACAGTTAATTGAAACAAATGAGTTTAATTGTGCTATTTGTACTGTCTGCATAAAATATGTTGTCCCTGATAGTTGCACTAGCTACCGTGGGTGTACTCAGTAGGCCGGCCTTATGAAACTGCTGTGGGGGTTGTCAGATAGTGTGTAGTCAGCCGGCTGTGTTACCTTGTGCACTACTATGTATAGAACTGTGTGCAGTCCAGCAGTTCTACAAAGTTTGTAAAGACCAAAGACTCTAGATAGGCAATAGCTATCACTCGGTTGTGTGGCTATGCTGCTGATCTTTTGAATCAATGAAGAAGATGTCTCTGTAAATGTTGACAGAGCATCAAATGTTCTGAACCCTTGCTGTGTTTACAAACACAGATGAGCCTTGCATCTGCATGCTGAAAACATCTGTGGTATCAGAAGAAGTCTCCATGAAAGGAGCAGAGTGCAAGTCAGCAGTGAAAAGCATGCTGTGACATAATGAGCTTTGAGGAGGCCTTTACTTAATATTCCACAGTCAGCCTGCTGAAACTCCAGCCTCAGTACCAGTCAGAGAGCTTGCCACAGACTTCACTCCACCACTTTCACCTTGCCTCTTGACTGAGCTGCTTGGCCACTGTGCGGACCCCACTGACTGTGGGTGTGGCCTCAAGTCCATAGGCTGGGGCTGCAGCAGATGAGACTGCCCGCTTAGTCAAGCGGTCTGCTTCCTCATTGCCCTCTATCCTCATATGCCCAGGAGCCCATTTCAGGCCGACATTGTGCTGTCTGAGAAGCTCATAGCAGTGGTTG